GTTTATATACACGAAAGAGTTAATTGTAATAACTGATTACTTGAAATTAATTTAAATTAGTCTATTTTGTTGTTAAAATGTTTCAATCATTCAACCAAGTTTATCATTTAGATCAAACTATTAACTACAATGATTAGTATTCAAAAAAATGATAATATAATGATATTTCAGTGAAAAGGGGTGGAAGATAAAAAGTAGGAAGATCTTAGAAGTTGTATATAAAGTGATTGAAAAAAATAACATTCATCAGTCAAGTTTATCATCATCAACATTACACTATTCTATCACTATCCGTGAAAAGTTTCAACATGAGTTTTCAAGTTCTGCTATTGCTATAAGCTGAATTCATTGGCTAAAATTCCAAGACGTTCAACGGTAAACGCTGCTGGATGGGACTTATACGCAATCGAATCAAAAAAAATCGAACCCTGGTCTAGAGAGCTGATTGGTACTGGACTCGCATTCGATATGCCAAAAGGTGTTTATGGTAGAATCGCTTCTAGAAGTTCATTTGCCTTGCGAGGTCTGGATGTCGGAGCTGGTGTTATTGATCCTGATTTCCATGGGGAAGTCAAAGTTTTGATCATCAATAATAACAATGTTGTTCAAACAATAAATCAGGGTGAGATTCTCACAAATAATTTTCGAACCTTACCATGAACCTAAAGAGGTTTTAATATTCAAACATTTTAAAAATGTTGAATCTCATTGTGATATTCCACTAACTGTTAAAAGAACAAAGACGGATTCTGATTCCAAAGAAGGTGATGATGAAGAAAACGTTTTAAAACAGTTGAGAAAATCACAGTACATGGCTAAACCATCTGATGGAGTATCCAAATTTTACTTCTATTCAGACCGAGATCTTTTCATTGAACCTAATGAAAGAGTTGTTTATTCAACTAAAATTGGATTGTCTATGCCTGATGGTATATATGCTCATCTGATTGGATCAAAATTACTCGCTGACTATGGCGTTGATGTTATTGATACAATAATCAAAAAAAATTCTACCAAGGAAATCAATATTATATTCCATAATCGCAATAATCATGTATACACCATTGTTGAAGGAATACCAATCGCTCAGGTTCATTTCAAATCTTATTCAAGTCAATTGGATGAAACAGATGAAATGCCAGCTGGAACTTCACGAGATGCTTCTGGATTTGGCTCTACCGGTCGTAATTAGAAATTGTTCACCAACATCATTGTATTGATTGACCTGTTTAACATTCTTCTTATTTCTTATTAAATAAAATTTATATAATTACTATTGAAAATATGTCTAGTATACTTTCATTATTCATTCGGTGACTAGGAATGCTAATATATTAGCGACCTTGTTGATCAGTACAATGAACATTAATTCACATTGAAAATCACAACTTTGATTCATGAACAAAGTAAAAGTTCAATTCATTCATTAGATGAGATATCGAGTCAAAATTATCAACATCTCAATCTCCAGTACAGACACAGAAGTTAATCAAACTTGTTGATTCACACATTGAAAATCACAACTTTGATTCATGAACAAAGTAAAAAGTTCAATTCATTCATTAGATGAGATATCGAGTCAAAATTATCAACATCTCAATCTCCAAAGTACAGACACAGAAGTTAATCAAACTTGTTGATTCACATTGAAAATCACAACTTTGATTCATGAACAAAGTAAAAGTTCAATTCATTCATTAGATGAGATATCGAGTCAAAATTATCAACATCTCAATCTCCAGTACAGACACAGAAGTTAATCAAACTTGTTGATTCACACATTGAAAATCACAACTTTGATTCATGAACAAAGTAAAAAGTTCAATTCATTCATTAGATGAGATATCGAGTCAAAATTATCAACATCTCAATCTCCAAAGTACAGACACAGAAGTTAATCAAACTTGTTGATTCACACATTGAAAATCACAACTTTGATTCATGAACAAAGTAAAAAGTTCAATTCATTCATTAGATGAGATATCGAGTCAAAATTATCAACATCTCAATCTCCAGTACAGACACAGAAGTTAATCAAACTTGTTGATTCACACATTGAAAATCACAACTTTGATTCATGAACAAAGTAAAAAGTTCAATTCATTCATTAGATGAGATATCGAGTCAAAATTATCAACATCTCAATCTCCAAAGTACAGACACAGAAGTTAATCAAACTTGTTGATTCACATTGAAAATCACAACTTTGATTCATGAACAAAGTAAAAAGTTCAATTCATTCATTAGATGAGATATCGAGTCAAAATTATCAACATCTCAATCTCCAAAGTACAGACACAGAAGTTAATCAAACTTGTTGATTCACACATTGAAAATCACAACTTTGATTCATGAACAAAGTAAAAAGTTCAATTCATTCATTAGATGAGATATCGAGTCAAAATTATCAACATCTCAATCTCCAAAGTACAGACACAGAAGTTAATCAAACTTATTGATTCACATTGAAAATCACAACTTTGATTCATGAACAAAGTAAAAAGTTCAATTCATTCATTAGATGAGATATCGAGTCAAAATTATCAACATCTCAATCTCCAAAGTACAGACACAGAAGTTAATCAAACTTGTTGATTCACACATTGAAAATCACAACTTTGATTCATGAACAAAGTAAAAGTTCAATTCATTCATTAGATGAGATATCGAGTCAAATTATCAACATCTCAATCTCCAAAGTACAGACAGAAGTTAATCAAACTTGTTGATTCACACATTGAAAATCACAACTTTGATTCATGAACAAAGTAAAAAGTTCAATTCATTCATTAGATGAGATATCGAGTCAAAATTATCAACATCTCAATCTCCAAAGTACAGACACAGAAGTTAATCAAACTTGTTGATTCACACATTGAAAATCACAACTTTGATTCATGAACAAAGTAAAAGTTCAATTCATTCATTAGATGAGATATCGAGTCAAATATAAATCAATATGGAATTCAATACATCAAATATACATCATTAAATGAATTAAAGATAATTGTCATTCAAATTTGAGTTTATATATTTATTGATTATTGTATTCAAAGATTATTCATTCAGATTTTTCAAATGGAATGTATATTTCAAATATGATCATTTTGTAACGATTTTGTATACTTTTGTGCAGCAATGAATTTTGGTATATCTGAGTAAAAAAACTCTCCACCAGAACTTGAAGCTTCAACTTGATTGTTTTTGAACCAAAACTTCCGAATTTTGCATACTCTTCCACCACAATTCGAACGATCTGTGAAGAATACCAAGTTGTCAGATACAATAAACTTATCACCCTGCAAACTTTCATCAGGAGCAACATTGTTCGATTTGGAACGTTGGTGAGGTCAATTTTAATTGGCTCCCATTCCAATTTCCTTTTTCATCGATTCCATTCGAAGCGTTGCTTTAGTATCCAAACCTCTTGCTGCCGCTGAATTCAATGAGATTGTTGATTCATCTTCTGATTCACTCAGAGTTAGTTCATTTACTTCATGTTGTTTAGTTGACTCGGTTTTTCTTGATAATTTTTCATGGCGCCATCCAAGTTCAATGTTGAGATTCATCATTTTTTTGATTTTGCTTTAACAATTTTTGTTGACATTTTCAATTCTATTTAAAAAGAAGAAACAAAAAGAAAATGTTATAACTTATATTTTAGATTAACTAAAATATTCAATATTGATAAACTCACTTAATGGAATCAGAACTTTGAAACTTTTCACTTTTGATGATTGAAGTTGTATGAAGTTATATGAACTTATGATTTCATTGATCAATCATCATCCTTTTATACTGATTTTGATTCAGTAAAGTTATTCAATCAATGAATAAGCACGAACATATTGAATTTTATCACCATGTTCCATCAAGAACAATTCATTCATGCATTGGTATGGTAGAAATAATTCATGATTCGAAACCGATGAACCATTTTATTGTTATCGTTCATCTTGTGAATGTATCTCACATGCATTAAACAATTAAAGAAAATGCATGAATAAGATAGTTAATAAATTATTAGAATGCCTGTTTCATCAACGGCTGAAACATTCTTTTTACTACTCAGTCATCATCATCATCATCATTATCATCATCATCATCTTATTATTATTATTATTAGTTACTTTAGCTTAATGTTACAAAAGTAATAGAACTTTTTTTTTGGTGAATTCAGTTTTTTTTTGTTATTTAGCTTCAATATATTAATCAAACAATTAGATAATAACAATTTAGATCTCTAATGATTAAGTCAACTGTAAAGATAATTAGAAGCCATTTTTGTTTATTTCACTTTCTCTCTCTGATATTTGATTGTTGATGATTAGTTTGATTGTGAATTTAACAATTTTGAAGCCATGAAAATGTTTAATCATTTACAAAGTTCTGTTCAATTTAATATTGATTCTTGATTGTTGTTGATTGAGATTAATTGTCTCTCTCTCTTTTTTTATCCTAATATGATTATGATTAATCATTTATCATTGTTTTGCTTTTAAATCACTGGATTTACATTTAATTTGGTTATTAATTGATTGCTTTCTCTTTGATCGTTCAATCTTTCAATGCAATTAACTTTTAACTGATTAAAACGCAAATTTAATCAATTAACTTTTCATTTTTTATAATCTTATTGATGTAATTACTTGCTAATCCCTTTCATTTTGGGATAATTAATAATCTAACAATACATTATTATTTGATTACTATAAATAGTGATCAGTAATTGATTGGAAAGTAATTTAATTGTTCAGTGATATTGAAACTTTTTTTTGTAAATGATTGTTTTGTTTTGTTTTGTTTTGTTGTTTCAATTTTAATCATTATTAGTAAATTGTTTGAATTAATCATTTTCCTGGCATTTAAAACATCACTTGAACCTTGAAAATGTTAATTTATTAATCCGGTTGTTAGTTAATTGTTTCCGTTGGTTATTTTTTGCATTTGATTGTAACAATTTATTTTCTAACATTTGATTATCTTCATTGCAAAAACAGGAATCAGAGTTGGAGTATCAATTGAATAAAATGGCTTCACATGTTGGTCAAATATGCAAAAGCTTAATACCAGAGGCATTTAAATCATTAACTAAATCAACCAAAGGAGATGATTTATCATCTTCATCATCATCATCATCATCTTGTCGAATTGGTTTAGATCCAGATAAACCATTCTCATCGGTAACTGCTTGTCTTGATTTCGTGGCTCATAATCATCGGGATATACATAATGTGCCCAATGATATAACCGTAATTGTTAATCTAATCCGTAATCCAGTTGATCAATATCAATGGTCATCAACCAGGGAAACCCAATATCATGTATTACCTTGTTACCTTGTTGACCTTAAAGGTCGGACAAAGGCTAATGGATTACAAATATTGACCAAATTTCCTGTTCTCAAGCGACTACGAAGCTCACCTTTACTATCAAGGCGGAAATGCCAGCGACTTAAAAAGAAAGCCCTGAGACGATCATTTCCGGAGAAACGATCTATCGACAACAAAGGGTCATCATTATCATCATCCAAATCATCACCATCTTCAGCTGGCCTTAGGTCAACCAATAAGAGTGTCAATAGTAAAAGTATATCGATATTTTCGACTCAATCTAAGCCGGTCCATAGATTTCCTGCCGAGAATCAATTAAAAGACCCAAATCATAAGGGTTACATTTATGAATTTGAATCGGACAATGAGGATTCATGTCTTGACCCCAGAATGGGTGGAGTGGGAATCGCTCTCGAACATGGTTCGATCATGATTGAATGTTCAAAACACGAAGTTCACTCAACGACACCACTTCGACAGCCCAATAGACTTCAACCCAATCGACTGAGTTTAATTTTCTACCAGCACAAGAATCTTGACAAACCGAACCATGGATCAGTTAATTGTGATCAACCAACGATAATTAACAAACCATCAGGCAATTTGTAATCAACAATTAACTTTAATCTAAACTTTTTCAACTAATGAGCTTTTTTATTTATAACTAATCATGTTTTCTCATCAACAGATCCAAATTGTTTACTCAATAAAAGTGATTAATCAATGAATGTGTTTAATCAATGAGGTGATGTACAACCAATTTACAATGTAACAATTAATTTGATTGTGTACAGAGTAAACAACTGTTTAAACAATCATCAAATTGGTTGGACAAATCATCTTAATTATTTACTTATTATACTCAATGATAATATATATTTGATTGTAAGACTTTGATGATAATAAAAATACAAATTAAATTACAATTACAATTACAATTGTTGCATCGTAGTAGTTTTCAAGTTGGCTAATTGTAATCAAGTGAATGACAGATTTTGATTTAATTTATCGATCATATAAAAGACTAGATTGTTACGATTTAACCATCAACTCTGATTGGTAGTTTTCTCCGGAAATAATTAAAAATTTGACTCTTCCTGTTTGGAAGTGATTCATTAACGGTAAATATTTTGAAACCTAATTGATTTAATAAGCGATTTCTCAATCGCTGATAACCAATTAGTTGAGTTTTTTCACGATCAGCAAATTTTGATCGACTGATTATCGTTGAATCAACAACTGAATTCGGTTCAACCTTGATTGTGGCTCCATGAACAATCGGATTAAATCGTGAATCGCAAACAATTATTTCCGGTGAAAAGCAAAAGGATAAAACATTTTTAGCGACTGTTTGTTTTGGATAATACTCTCTACAAGCGAGGTAAATTACCACAGTTAAGTATTGATGATGAGTTAAATCACGAGGATTAATTGGTAAAAGTTGATCCATTGATTGTCTTGTAAATACTAGATTTCTCTGTTTAATTGCTTCGTCTAATTGTCCAATTTGATCAACATACTTTGGATGACATTCAATTGCCAACGAGTCTCTAATTGAAAATAATGCTTTGAGATGTTGTTGATTATCTGAAAGGGAATCAAAGTAAATTGTTAATCTTTTTTTCATCAATTATCACGTTAATTAACTTACCTGGTAGATTGTTGAGAAAATCATCTTGGAAAATTAGGTTAATTAACTTTGATGGATAAATTTTCCAGGTAATCAATGATTCCAGAATCGCAATTGAGTGTTGAGGTGATTTAATCATTTCATTGATTCTTGGCTTTGTTTCAATTAGATTAACCAATGATTTTAAATTGTTTTCATTGAAATGATCAAAGTTACTTAATGATTTAACTATTGTGCTAATTGTTTCCAATGACATTGAATCATATCTAATAGTTAATTGTTCAAGAGTCCAGTTTAATAATGATGGATGATAAAGTTTACGATTTGTAACAATATCAATTATCTTGGTTATACTTTCATCCGATAGTTTTGTTTCAAGGTTAATTTGTTGATCAATTTGTTTAATTAACGATGATTCATCTTCTTCATTCCATCCAATTGTTGTAGTTCCTTATCACAATTAAATTAAATAAATCAATGAATGAGTAAATAAGTGAATAAATTATATATACTCTAAGTTTATCAAATTCACTGGGGGATTGTTAGGGATTAATTTACATATAGAAAAAAAATGATCAAGAACAATTTAGAAAATTGAATTAATTGTTTGAACCTTGTGAAAACGCGATATCAAATACTTGTTTGTAATCATCTACAAAATGAACATCTAAATTGCTTTTTATAAAATCAGGTAACTCATCGAAATCTTTACGATTCTCTTGAGGTAAAATTAAACAGGTCACATTGGCACGTTTGGCGGCGATCGTTTTCTCTCGGATTCCTCCGACGGGTAAAACTTTACCAGTTAGTGAAACTTCACCGGTCATTGCCAGGTCACTTCGAACTGGTTTGTTTAGAGCTAAGGAAAGGAGAGCGGTGACCATTGTACATCCAGCACTTGGACCATCTTTAGGTGTCGCTCCATCGGGTACATGTAGATGAATATGAGCTTTTTCAAAAAATTCATTATCACTGTCGATTTGGGTGATGAATGATTTGGCCACCGAATAGGCGATATCAGCACTTTCTTTCATTACATCACCAAGGCGACCAGTTAATTTCATTGATCCGATTTCAGGTTCATCGGGTTTATCAGAATCAACTAAAGGCTTGAATAAAGTGGTCTCGATAAATAAAACTGACCCTCCCATTGCTGTCCAAGCTAAGCCCATGGTGACACCGGAAGGAGTGACCTCATACATGCGATCTTGAGTGAAAATCGGTTTACCAACAAAATCTTGTAAATTGTCAACATTAACATTAACCTTTTCCGCTTCCTTGTTTACTATTTTCAAAGCTGCTTTCCTCATGATCTAGAGCAAAATGTGATAAATGATTAGTTGATCAATTGGATGAATTAAATCTAAAGAAAGTTAATCTACCTTTTCGATGTGTTTCTGTAAATTTCTTACTCCACTTTCTCGACAATAAGCTTTGATTAACGTTTGTAGAACATCTTTTGGGATTCTAGCAATTTCTTCGCTAACTCCTGCCATTTCTCGAGCTTGTGGAATCAAATATTGCTATGGAAGAAGATGAGAGTTATTAGCAAAATGGAATAATTTTCATTATTAATATAATATAATCGTTGCAATAATTGTACCTCCGCAATTGCTACTTTCTCTTCCGCCACATAGCCCGACACTTCGATAATTTCCATTCGGTCTCTAAGTGGTTCCGGGATTGTATCAAGTACATTAGCCGTACAAATGAATAGTACTCTTGATAAGTCAACCGTCACATCTAGATAATGATCTAGAAAATTTACATTTTGTTCGGGATCTAAAATCTCGAGAAGAGCTGATGACGGATCTCCTTGATAACCTCGACCAATTTTATCAATTTCATCAATAAGAACCAATGGATTTTCAGATTTGGTCTTTTTTAAACACTGAATAAGTTTACCAGGCATCGCACCGACATATGTCCTTCTATGACCCTTGATTTCGGCGACATCGGTCATGCCACCAACACTAAACCTAAAATACTGGAAAGACGCAAAAGTAATCATTAGAAAACGATAATTAATCTAACTGAAAATAGCCAACTAACCTCTCTGTTCAATGCTCGAGCAATTGATTTCGCTATACTTGTTTTACCGACTCCAGGGGGACCATGGAAACAAAGGATTTTACCCTGAGTTTTACCTCGTAATTGGCTGACGGCGATAAATTCGAGGATTCGTTTTTTAACCTCTTCCATTCCATAATGATCTTCTTCAAGAACTTTTTTCGCTCTTTCTAGATCCAAATTCTCTTCGCTGCTTTTACCCCAGGGAAGATTAGTTAACCAGTCGAGGTAATTTCGTGTAACACTAAATTCAGACGAATGATTGTCCAAAAAGGCTAATTTATTCAGTTCCTCTTCTATTACGTCCATTATGTGTTTAGGAACCGTTAAATCTTTCAATCGAGCTTTGAATTTCTCTTCGATGGCATCTTTATCATCTTTCACTAATCCTAATTCCTTTTTGATTACTTTAAGTTGTTCATGTAATAGATAACGACGATGTTGTTGTTTAACTTTATCTTCAACCTCTTTTCCAATCTCTTGTTGTAATTTGGACATTTCAAACTCTTTTTTCAGTAGAGTTAAAGACAATTCTAGTCTTTTAGGGATGTTGGTCTCTTCTAGAACCGCTTGTAGATCGGGACCTTTGGCACCCGAAAGAGCAGCTCCAAGATCGGATAAATAAACAGGATTATCGACAACTCGAGGTCCAGCCTGTAACATTTGAAGAACCGATTCTCTATACAAAGGATTAACTGACATAATATCTAAAATTGTCTTGACTATTTCTTGAGTAATTGCTTTAACGTGTTTGGTCATTTCAAATTGTTCGTGGTTAACATTATCCACTTGTGCCATTAGAACAGGTCCTAGATCAGTGGAGGTACTTGTTATTGGTTCTGGAGGAGTGGAACATGTAATCGATTCTGATTCAGCCTCATTGGAATCTTCTTTTTTCTTTAATTTCTTTTTCTTCAGCTTATCATTTAAAGAATCATAATCTTCTGGTAATTGTTTGACCAGTTTAACTCTTCGGTGTGATTGAAGAACCACTTTCAATTTCTCTCCGACATCTTGAATCTCCAATATTTGGACAAAAGTTCCAACAGGATAAACATCATCCAATGTTTTAACAACTTCTTCTTCATTGTTTTCATTTTTCTTCAAGAATAAACCGGCATAGGGTTGATTAAGTCGCACTTTACGTTTGATTAGCGATATTAATGATGGATTGGAGATGTCAATCACTTTTAAGAATTTGGGGAAAACGGGTCGACCAGTAATCGCAATCACAGGAATATTAGGCCAATATTCGGGAACCGTCATTGTAGCCAAAGTGCTTGAAATACCGGACATAATTAAATCATGTTCTTCCTCCTCTTTGATAGACATTGAAGGCTCCTTTTCAGGAGGATCAACACCATCACCTTCATCACCTTTACGAGCTGGATCACAATAATTTCGTACACTAGATACTTGATTCTTAGGCGAGTCTAATAAATTATTCCAATCGTGAACAGTTGATCGATTAGTTGATAATTTGTGACAATAAAATTTAGTAAATGATGAAACATGACGCTCATGGTAAACTCTTCCCAATGAATATCTACTTTCACTTTTAAGAAGAATATTTATCAAACGAAGACAATCCTTAGAACGTTGTCCAACAAGATGACCAATCATTTCACCATTCAAACAATTACAAGCTACACAATTAAAGAAAATATTAACCAACAATTCAAGAAATCAAAATAATCACATAACCAAAAAACATCAAACCAACGTGAGGATTTTGGTTACCAAGGTAAATGAGTCAACATGTTAAGAAAATCACTGAACAAGTTTATTGGTTCTCTCACAATTAATTAGAGGCCATTTTTAATTCGTAATTATTGACGATTATTTCGTTTTCAATTCCGCCATTTTCTATTGTTTAATGATTAGAATTTCAATTATTCCAATGATTTAATTTGTCTCTTTTTCTATCAACTCATTTTTCGCGCTTTCACTTGTATCTTATTCTTTTTATGGATCTTGATTGGAATCGATACTTTTTGAGTCTAAGGTCAAATCAGTGAATTTGGTTGATTAAATTTTCTAATTTCTTGTTAATTAAATTGTTCCTTTGGTCCTAAATTAAAATGATCTCTGCTGCCCGGAGTTTATTAACTGTCGCTCGACGATCCCCACAACAGATTAGGCTTTGTCATGAGGGTTTCACCTACAAAGGAGAAGTAAGTCAATTAATTTCAATTTCTTCGTTTACTTTTTTTTGTTGATTACCTTTAATCTAATTTTGTTTTTTTATTTATTTTTTATTTCTTCTAGAATTTACCATTCAGCATCAAGAATCGGCGACTATTTGCTGTCAAGTTTATCTTGTACTGTTCGTTACCCGTTTGGATACCATTTTTAATCATGAGATTCAATCTGATCAAAATGCGTTAATCTAATAATGTCAGTAAACAAAAAGGAATCACCAACATTTTTGAGCAAAATCTCAGCTCATCATCTAATAGATTCTCTCCTGATTTTGTTTTAACAATACTTAGTTACCTGATTATCATGGAGGAAGAAAATAAAGATGTATATTAATCTTTTGTTGTTTAAAGAAATAAATGTAGCTAAGTGAACCCTCGTTTGCTACTCAATTAATTTCAGCTTGATCCGAAAATCTCACGGATCTAATAAGATTATTGGTCAAATCTAACAATCAATTTAATGGTCGAAAATGATGATTGATACCAAAGGTGAACAGTCACCATTTGAATTTGGAATTTTTGTTGAAATATTGAATTTTTAATGATATCAGCATTTTTTAGTTCCATTAAACTAAGGTTAGCTTTTCATTAAGCATCAATTGAGTTTTACATAAATTGGAAAGATAAATAACCATAAGAAGATCATTAAGATTCTTATTGATTGTCTCTTCATCTTTGCAAAGTGGTCCAATACTTTCCACCATAGACATAAGTTCACGTCCAATATCATTACTATTACTTGGTAAAGGTTTTCCAGGAGTGATTATATTCTCGTCTATATATTTGACAATACTGGTTATTATATCTGAACATTTTTTCGAAGCGGCCAAAATCATGTCAATTTCAGAATCATAAGTTACTGCTTTACTTTCACCGATCCCAGAAGCAGCCATACAAGCTTTAAGACCAATCATTTCAGCTTCATAACCGCCGGTAATGTCAACAGATTTAATGTGAGAAAACATGGTTCCAGTACTTTTTCCGGGTACACCAAATGGAGTCAAGGTGTAACCTAATGAAAGAATTGTAATACAATTAGTGAGTGTTTAGAATAGAATGATAAATAATGGACAATTGGTAAAATGATGGATTACCTTTGACAGAAATACCGGCTGATGTTGGATCAACAGTGATATGAACTGGATTTGAAGTTTCCCTAGTGTAAAATTCATGGATGAGAACAGAATATTCATTAACTTCTCCCCCTCCGGTTGCAAACCATCCGACAATTGATTCATTAGGATTAACTTTACGATGTAATTCATAGAGATCTTTGGCCACTTCAATGTCGAAAGCAACTTCTCCATCAGCTTCCCGATGTTGAACCACAAAAGAATTAGAAACCTCAATGGTTCCAGATTTGTCTACATTTCCCAAGAGAGTACCAATCACACGCTTCTGGTCTCGACTTCTTCTTTCATATGAATCGACGATGTTCAACAGAACAACAGGATGAATCTTAACATTCAAAGTTGACATGGTAAACAAGTAAATTAAATTAAATTCACTAAAAACAAAATTAATCAATAAAAACAATCACAAGATCAAGAAAACCGAGTCAACAAAAACCAAAGAAAATGTGGCACAACTATTTTCACAGAAAAATCTCTAAGTTTAATCAGCTATTTTCACGAAAACTTCTAAACGCCATCTGGTAGACATTAGAATAAACTTCTAATTTAGTTGAATTTTTAATCGTAATTAGCATCTATAATTAATTTACTTATTGTTTATAACCAACTGCATATCTAATTATTGATTTGGTAACAAAATACAAGGATTGGGAATCATTTCCATGATTGGACTATCTTAAAATTGTTTTTCTTTGGTCAAAAATTGAGAGGAGAAAAAAAGTTGAAACAATTTAGATTTTTATTTGATTAGCATTTTGATTTGTTTAATTTTGTTTTTTCTTTTACTCACTAGCAATTTAACAATTGAGATAATATCAAATTATTACAATTTAAATGAAAGAAGGAAAAAAAATTGAAGGAGAAAATCAAAGTGAATATAATTTGCGAAAATACAATTCAGTTAATTGTCGGAGTTGATTTATTTCTCCTAAACAATTGTGACCGGAATCTCAACACAGACCAACATTTGACCAGGATGGAGAAGCCAATTGCATTTACTTTTCTTACAGGGTTTTGCTTCACGAATCAAGTAACGAGCCCATAAAGTGGTCTAAATCAATCGGTAAGAAGATCAGATAATTAGATGAAATTTGAATAAAAAAATCGTTGTCATGATGATTTACCTTTGGTGATGAACTAAGAATGTTGAATATATTATTGAAGAAATATGGTTTTCCAGCAATTAAGCCTTTTCCCTCGATCGATTGAGGAGAACCCGATTCGTCAATATAATAGGTTCGATCATCGGCTGCGACTCCACCGCCGTAAGGAACTTCAACGTATTTGTCCTTTAATTTTTTCGCGAATTTGGCCATGATAACTCGTTCGATTGGTGTGGAAATATTGACATCAGGAGCTTTTAGAGCGAAACAATCAAGTTAATCGTCACGTCTTCTCATCGTCTCTTAATTACTTACAGAAATAAATTGTGAAGTTTGCATTGTCTCCCCGTTGGAAAAGGCAACTCGAGTTGGTCGTCGACAGATCGCAAGGTACAATGTCCACTGATATGTTTTTGGAAAGCGCTGATCGACCTTCACCTGATTGGATATCGATGGTTAATTAATTGTTAAGAGTTGATTAGTTGGTAAAACTTACATGGTACAAATGGCGCAAGAATTGCGTTAACTGTAACAAATGAACAGGAAACAATCAAAACAATCAATTTGATCATCATGTTGATTTTTTTTTTGTTTTCACTTTTACAAGTTGGAATAAAAAGAAAAATAAATTTTAATTGCTGTTAACAATTTACGATTTAGTTTCAACTAATCAACTGTCAATGAGAAAGTGATATTCTCGTTAAATTATTTGTGGATGTTCAAATGAAGATGATGATTAAGACGATCAGTTAATCTGATTAACTTCAATCAACGCCCTTTGCCTTTCCTCTTGTGTTCAAATCTCAAGAAAATTGTCAAGTACAATTAACGTTTAATCACTGGCGTAATTGTCGCTAAATTGTTGTCATTTGATGATAATCATTGGAAAATCAATTTATCCTTGATCATTTATTTGGATAACAGTTTCATCAACTAATTGTAGTTAATAAGTTTTTTTTTCAGGTCATTTCATCACCTTAATCACTTGGAATCGATTTCACTTCAAACAATTGAAAGTCCACTTTGGCTTAATTGTTACAATTTATTTCAAAATTAAACTAACTAATCTTAATCAGTACAAGGTCAATTTACTACTAATAAATCATGAGTTTTTAATTGTTTTCCTTTCATTTTTAATAATTAAACATTTGAGTAAATATTTATTTCCATGTGATCAACTTCTTGATTAAGTTAATTGTTGATATAAACTCAAGTTGATTAAAAGACACTCGAGCTTAACTAGATTGTCTTGATTACAATTAACATAATTAGGCGAAATGAGATAAATCATGATTAGGGCCTTATGATTAATATTTTGATTGTTAAATTGTGTTTTTATGTTAACAATTAAATAAAACGATCCATACAAATTAAACAGAAATAATTAGTTTTTTGATAATTAGTTGATTGTCACTGTTGGAGATTTCAGCTTCATCAACTAATTTAGCTTCTTGATTGTGATAATTAAGCAGAAATTTTGATTAATTGTGCAATTTTGACAAAATCTGCCGATTGTAATGTTACGATTGAATGTTAAATGTTACGATTAATTAATATCGGTTAATCAACCAACAATTAAGTTACCCTTGATTACCATTGAATATAAATAATCAAATCAAAGGATTGGATAGTTTAAGTTTGACACAATTAACAATTGATTAAAAATAAATCACAATCAAGGTTTTAATTAACATCTAATAGCAGAAAATTAGATTGAGTTATGACGTTAATTCCGTTAATTGTCAATCAACAAAAGCAAAAGGAAAAAGATTAAATCATATTTCCGTTTAAATTTAATTCTAATCAGATTGGAACATAATTGGTAACAATTAACCCGATGGTCCGAGTTAAAAGTTAATCACCTTAACAATAAAGCGAAAGTAATCTAGAAGCAAATTCAGTTAACTAATTACATTTTCTTATAATTAGTAATAATTACCAACCGCAATGATTTAGAAAAAAAAACGAAAATTAAATTAATTGTAATTTCCAATTGTTGTTGATGTTAAAATAACAGAAATCACATGTTAACATATGAAAGGTTTTTCTCCCATGAGATTGACTTTCACATTGATTTCCATTGATTGTTGTGATTATTAATTTTCTATTCTAATTTTTTACTACAACGTGTTTAGATAATTTTCTAGGTTAACAGGTCAACAATTAAGAACCGGATTAAGTAACGAAAAAGGGGAACCCGGACTTTGACTTGACCCAAAATAAATTGTTGTTATTCAACTTGTTGGCTGTTTGATTCTCATCCTTTTACTTGGCTTCATCTTAATCATGCCTCCGTTAGTAACAATTGTGCCTTAATTGTCCGTCTATTTCATACTCACAGTTAATCTCTATCTCTGTTGTTAATTTAAATTAAACCCATAGATTGGATAACAATTGGTTAATCAAAATGTTCGGTCGTGTCACTTTCTATCCAACTTTGGTTTACAATGTGATGATGGAGAAAATGTCATCAAGAAGATGGTTTGATCGGATTGATGAAAATGTTATTCTCGGAGCTTTACCATGGAGAAGTATAACCAATCAGGTAATTCAGTTAATTGTCCAGCTAAATTTGCTAATTATTGTGTGGAAAATTTTCAACGAAATCAACTAATTTCATCTTTTCTTTTCTTTTTGCTTTTGCTTTTGTTTTTGTTTTTGTTTCTATATTTTGGTTGATCAGCTGATCCACGAGGAAAAAGTCAAAGGCGTTGTCTCTATGAACGAAAATTTTGAGCTTCTATTTGGAGTGACCACTAGGAAAGAATGGAACAAATTAAATGTTAAATTCTTACAATTAAACACAGCTGATATTTTCCATGCTCCAAGTCAGGAGAAAATTCAAAAAGGTGTTGAATTTATCCAACAATTCGATGGGACCGAGAATAGTGTTTATGTCCATTGTAAAGCTGGAAGAACTCGAAGTGCGACTTTGGTTGCTTGTTATCTAATTGAGGTAAATTGTTATTCTTTTCTTTCCAACAATCAATACAACAATTAACGATCTGTTTCCTTTACCTTTACCCCTTAGAAATACAATATGACACCAAAGGAAGCGGTCGATTTCATTGCCTCCAAACGACCTCACATTCTACTTCGATCTGCCCAATGGTCAGCGATCGATACTTTTTACTCTGATAAAAACTTTAAATCTCTCGATGGTCCATCTTGATGATGATTAGTTAATCAATCATTTATTTCTCATCAAATTTAGTCAATCAACTGATGTGCCTACAACTTATTTAATTTATCATAAGTTTAATTATGTAAAAACAAAGTCATTACCCTTAATCATAATTGTTACATTTTCTCAGCGACTTAATTGCTTCTTCAATAATAACGATTTAAAGCAATAACTTTTTTCCAATCAACTGATTAACTTTTCTTTAATTTCTTGTAAATTGTGTACAGAAAATTAACTAGAAAATCTCATTAACAATCAACAAAATGATTAGATTGCAATTGAAAATATTACCACACGTGAACTGAGTTTACATGAGATTTGGATTGATTTGATTGTAGCAACAATTAAGAAATTAGATTCGTTAATTGTATAAATTTCCATCGGTCTCAATTGATTTAAAGTTAATTGTGAGTTACCCTTCAAGTATTTATCAAAACTAATCAATTGATCAACTGATCAACCCAAAGTTTAAATTGTTTTAATTGTAACCATAAATAACGAGAAAATAATTTCCCAACAGCAATAAACAAGATAGAGTCTAATTGTTTATCTACAATTAAGGTAATCACATTTCAGAATCAAACCAATATAATCAACTAATTATCCATCGAGACTTAAACAATTAACAACAGGAGATCCTGAAAAATTATAATTAATGATCAAAATAATACAAAGAAACTGAATCGTTGATTAAATTGAATCTCATTAGTTGCAGAAACTAATTAAAAACTTGGATCAGGATGTTAATCATAATAATGATGATAGGAAATGTGATGTTATGGATAAACAATTAACTAAACCGGTTTCATACTAATCAATTGGCAGAAAAAAACAATCAACTAGAATTGAGAATCAAATGATAATTGTACTGAAACAAATTGATTACCTTCTAGTCATTTAATTGATAACCTTGACTTATCAACGTTACTATCACTCATAATTGAGGTATTAAATTGTTTCAATTAAATTGCTGGTAATCATTATCTCAACTGATTTAGTTAAACCTGATTTACCCGAAGTGGGGAAACCGAGAGTGGGTAATAAGAGTGGTGAACATTTGAAGGGGAAAAAGTTAATCATCTTCAGCGGGTTAGTTGTAAATCTGCTCATCACTTTGATAGTTAACAATTTACAAGGAAAATCAATTTGATTTGATTGTTGTATTTTTCCTCAATTGGACATTTTAATTATTCTCAGGATTTTGTTGTGTGATTTACTCTGCTTTTGGTTCCCTGGCTTCATCTAAATTGTGAGTATTTAAAATCTTCACAGTAAATTGTTACCACTTAATTGTTACCATTTTGTTACCTTTTCATTTTGTTACCCTTGACATTTAAATTGTTACCTTGCCAAGTTGATTTGGCAAGTTAATTGTTATCATTTCTTTACGTTTAAAAATTTAAATCAATTGTGTTATCAACCTTGTTATCGGCGGTATTGTTAATCCAGTTTACTAAATTGTTACGATTTCCTGTCACCAGAAAACGATTTAAATTGTTGGTGTGTGTATATATACACCTGACGACAACATTTTCAGATATTAATTGTTTAGAGTTTAATGTTTCATGATAAACTGTTGATGTGAATCAAATCTCTAAATCTATCATAATAATCAATTGATTTATATTTGTTTCGTTTGATAATTTGTAACTGTAATAATTTACTTTTGATTTGTTTGTTGTGTTAATTGTGATTAGCTGAAAATCAATCAACATGTCTGGAAATACATTGGAGCAATTAAGACAATTCACAACCGTTGTCGCTGATACTGGTGACTTTGAATCAATGAGACAATACAAACCAACGGACGCAACAACAAATCCATCGTTAATTTTGGCCGCTGCTAAATTGCCACAATACGAGTCGATAATTAACAAGGCCGTTGATTATGGTAAAGCCAATGGATCTGATGTTTCGGTCACAATGGACTATCTTTGCGTCCTTTTTGGTATGGAGATACTTAAGATTATTCCTGGTCGAGTTTCAACCGAGGTCGATGCTCGACTTAGTTATGATAAGGAGGCCTCTGTGGCCAAAGCCCGACAGTTGATTAAACTGTACGAAGCCAATGGAATCGGTAAGGATCGGGTGTTGATCAAATTAGCGACAACTTGGGAAGGTATTGAAGCAGCTAAGGAATTGGAAGCCGAAGGTATTCATTGTAACATGACGCTACTTTTTTCCTTCGCTCAGGCCGTTGCTTGTGCCGATGCGAACGTTACTCTTATCTCACCTTTTGTCGGTCGCATCTACGATTGGTATGTGGCCAAAACAGGAATAAAAACTTACGCTGATCCCTTTGAAGATCCTGGTGTTCAAAGTGTCACCCGAATCTACAATTATTACAAGAAACACGATTATAAAACCGTTGTGATGGGCGCGTCCTTCCGGAATGTCAGTGAGATCAAATGTCTCTCGGGCTGTGATCTGTTAACAATCTCACCTTCCCTGTTAGCTGAGCTTTCAAATGAAACTCAAGTCCCCCTGGTACGAAATCTGTCACCTGAAAAGGCTAAACAATTACCAGAAACTGGTGATTATGTGAAAGTTCATTTTGATGAGGCCACTTTCCGTTCTGCTCTTTCAGCTGATCAAATGGCTGATGAAAAACTTAAGGAAGGAATTGAAAAGTTTTCAGCTGATGTTATTAAACTTGAAAACGATATCAAGGAAAGATTAGCTAAAGCTTAATCTCATTAATCTCATTATTCAAACTTGGGATAGAAAACTATTGTAATAGTTTAATGGTGTTTAATTAACATGATTTAATAAACTTAACCTTTTTTGTTTCAAATCAAATACAAAAAATATATCGTTTATTGGAGTATTGGAGTATTTAGAAAACGATTAAGATTCAAAGTAATTTACTTAATTTAGTAAGGATGATGTGGTGGTTGTGGTGGGTAAGGTGGCTCATGATGGTGGTGATGAGGCTCGTGGTGATGTTGATGTTGATGTGGAGGTGGTGGTGGTTCATAATGATGATGTGGTGGTGGTTGTGGTGGGTAAGGTGGCTCATGATGGTGGTGATGAGGCTCGTGGTGATGTTGATGTTGATGTGGAGGTGGTGGTGGTTCATAATGATGATGTGGTGGTGGTTGTGGTGGATAAGGTGGTTCATGGTGATGAGGCGGTGGATGATGATGAATCTCATGATGAGGTGGGTACTGTGGTGGTGGAGGTGGTTGATCCTCTTCAGAGCCAAAACAACAGGAGAAACACATTGTTAACTTTTTCTTCACCAAAATCAACTTTGGAATACAATTAACAACAATTAAGTGAAACAATCGGCCTTTTAACAGTTTACAAATTGATAATAAACCATGGTTACAGTTGATAATTGAACCTAATCATGATTGAAAAGCTAAATTCTAATTAAATTTAATGGAAATCAATAGATTTGTAATAACTGTAATCAGAAAGTTGTTGCAATATTCATTGTTAAATAATCAAAAAAATCTTACGTAATTAAAAATTTCCTGGTTAGAGTAAAATATAATTACTAATGGTGAAAATATTTCAATTTGATTAGATTAATTAGCTGAATTGAAAATTGTGACTAATACTATTACACACAATCAGATATCCATTGAACCAATTTGAATTGTTAACCATAAACATTGAGATGATTAGTGAAAACTGAATGACCATTTAAACTTAATTGTTAGTCAACTGCTCCAATCAATCACTAGATTGTTGATTAAATTCCCATAAATGAACATTTCCCTCTCCAGCAGTTATTATCTCGTTTTTAGTTGGATGACAATCAATTGAATGAATTACTCGATGATTATCATGATGAACCTTTTCTATGATTTTACCCTGAAAGAGAAATGAAAAGTTAAAGAAATTAGTAAATTGTTGAGTAGATTTACTTGATTTACTTACTTGGATAAGATCCCAACAAACTAAATTAGCATCTTCAGAACCGGAGACAACAATTGAATCGTTATTGATTAGACCATTTTCCAAGCGATATTTTTTATTTACATGACCACGATATCTGAAATGATTAGTAGATTAAATTGATTTGATTAGGCGGATTTTAAAGAGTTACAATTAAGTTTCGAGATCAGAAAACATAAGAAAATTAGAAATTAACAAAAAGTTTGTGAAAATTGACGACAATGATTAACATGAATACTTTAAAAGACAGTTAATTAACTATAAAATTAGATGATTCTGAGGATTTGGAATCAATTTGGATCAATGTCCATAATGTCATCGAAATCATTTGGTGCAGCTCGAGAAAAGTTGGCTCGTTGTAATTGATTGAAGTCGTTGAGCTGTTCATCGCCATCGTTGTGAGTGAACTCAGTTGTTTCCAAACTGTTCAATCCAAGAGCGTTTAGAACCCGTTCTTGGACAATATTGTCTCTCGCTGACCAAGCGAAGTTTTCGACATTAGGAACATCTTGGACAACGCAGGCCGCACATCCAGTCCGTCTTCGGATCAGTTTAGTTCCCAAGAGCCAGCGTTTGGTTCGATCGCACCATAGCTCTACAGTTCGAAGGCCACCAACACCATCCCAACCTCCGATGATCAGAATTTTATCATCGAGAACAACGGCCGCTGAGCAACACTTTTTCTCCAGCATTTCGTTTTCCATTTTCTCCCATTTATTTTCAATTGGATCATATTTTTCACCGCTCGAAAGTAAACCGTTTGATGTCAGGCCACCGATAACATGAAGCTTATCGTTAAAGGCGACAACTGCTGGACTACTTCGAGGTTTAGTCATACTGGGAATTGTTGACCATTGATTCGTTACTGGATCGTAAACTTCACCAGTGTTTAGATAATTTTGATCACGAAAACCACCGACCACGTAAATTTTACCATTAAGAACGGCAGCTCCAGCTCCACTTCGTCTTTCGTTCATTGGTGCACAAGAAGTCCATTGATTTTGGATAATATCGTAACGTTCAACGGAATCAGTTCGACGAGCACCATTATAACCTCCGATAACATAGATGTGGTTCCCGATGATAGCACTTGTATGGAAAGCCCGTTTTTCTCGCATCGGTGAGATTTCATTCCACTTTCTGGTTGTCAAGTCCAGTTTACGACATGAATTGAATACATTGAATGGACCATGATGACCACCAAGGATAAATAATTGTCTACCGATCACACAGATCTGATGGTGATCTCTTGGACCAGACGGATCTTCCAAGTTAACTTGTCTCCATCGTTCGGCTCGATGGTCATAAGCCTCGACAACACTTTCCGGCGAAACAAATTCAACATCCAAGGCTCGACCACCGAAAACAAATATCATGTCCTTTGGATATCGTGGTGCTAGTTGACGTTTAATTGTTTCGCTTAGGAATATGGCCGCAGGTTTTTCACAAGATTCGAGGACTCGACGAGTCGATAGAACTTCTTGAATCATAGTTTTGATCTTAGTGTTATTAGTGACATATGGATGAGAGAGAACATGATAGATTAGAGAATATTCTTCCATTAGTCCGAATCGAAGGTAACCGGCCAGTTCTTCAAAATGATCGATTCGCTGAGAAACATCAAAATCGATCCATTTGATTAAACTATTCCAAACGGAAAGTTCGTCGGATACATAAAGAAAATGAGTCTTATAGATTTCGAGGAGCGACGATTTACTTGTCAGGTCGAGGAATTCATCCGATTCGCGATAAATGGTCTCAAAATTTCCAAGAATAAAAGTTCGAGAAAATTTTTCCAAATCAAAACAATTATACGAACTGGCAAACAAATGAATACCAATACAATTTGTCGGGTTGAGGCAGGACTTCAGGAAAAAGGTACTTTCTTTGATCAGTCCATAAATATTGTACATATCAGCGGCGACAATTAAATCTTGAATAAAATCAAAGTCTAAATGAACATAACCATAATAAGCGTATTGTAATATCGAGGTTAAGGTCATCGGTTTATCGATATCAAGACGAATACAGTCCAAAGTTTTTGGTAGACCATTTTCATCGAGAATGATTGTTTCCTTTTCCGGGTTACATGAATATTGGAATAATTTTTGAAAATATGGACTGATACACATTAAAATAATTCTATGAGCGGGATATTTGGCCTCAGGGTTACGTCCGGTAAGAATTAGATCGGGCGGGGCATGGATTAAATTTCGATCACGTAAAATGGGCGGAAGGGGCATAATTTCACCTCTCCATGGGTCACCTTTACCTCTCTTATTATGAAATCAATTAAACTTGAAGTAATCAACAGTCCAAGCTTAGTGATTAAACTAATTGTCAATTGTTTAATCATTTCTAATTTCCATTGTTGACAAGACAAAAATACTTTCCACTAATTAAGATTATCTTTTCTAGGTCAACACTTGGTCACTCGAAATCTTGATCATTGTCATTTGTTTACTTTTCATTTAAATGATTTAGAATCCCAATTGTCAATCAAATTGGTGATGGAAATCAATTACGTTTTTAACCAACAACAATTACAACATTGTGGTTGATTGTTGATGTTTTAATTATCTTCTTTTCTTTAATAATTAACTTACTCTGATAAAATTTCACCACTTTCCTTATCCACCATTCTGATGATTCCATTGGCACATGAAGCTAATAAACATTGTCCATCTTTGGTAATGCTGACAAAATTAACTGAACCTAATTGATGAAAATAAAATTGATTGAGTTAATCGATAGGTTGATGAGCTAATTGTGGATGAAAATGTTGACTAACATGATTGATCATCGGCATGAAGTTTACCATTCCGAAGATCATAACGACGGACTTTCCCATCCAATGAACTTGTGATTATTTCATAATTAGAAACTGTAATTGATGTGATTGAATCTTTCGCCTCTTTGAATTCTTGAATTGGATCTTTACTCCTACTTTTACAATCCCAGGTCTTAACTGAACAATCAATTGATCCTGATAGAATGACAGTTGATTCTTCATTGAATTGGACACAATTAATGAACCCATGGTGAGCTCGATATCTTTTAACGACTTGACCGGTTGAAACATCCCAAAGGAAAATACATTTATCCAAACCACCCGAGGCGATATGAGAACTGTCGCAAGAACTTCGGGCGTCCATCACTTCGTATCCATGGCCTGAATACGTTTTCAGAAGAAGAGATTTCCTTGGATTCCATAATTTAATACTCTTGTCACTTCCACAGGTTAAACAATAATCACCATCGACTGAAAGATAAACAAAACAAATTAGAACATCAATTAAGCATCAAAATCAAATTCTTACCATTGAATCTCACCGCTCGCACTGCACCTTGAGAGCAGTTGAAACTTTTGATTGAGGAAAAATTGAGCTTCATTGTTAATTGTGACAATCTACCAGATTTACCAATAGTTTGTAATCAAATTGAGATGAAATAGAATCACAATTGAAGCGAAACCCACAATTCATTTGTTTACAACTTGTGATGATCTTTTTTTTCACTCAAAAATCACATAACATAAAACACATCGAACTATAATTATTATCGACAATTAGATAATCTAAATATTAGGTTGACACAATTAATTAATCAACTGATTCCACCGATTGGACAAAATCTTAACATTAAGGAAAATATTTTCTCAATCAGCTGTAGGTTGCCAATGGAAACATACCATGTGACTTAAATTGAAAGATTACAATTAGAATTTTAAATTGATTTAATTTACAGGATAAGAATAGATTTAAATTACGAATAGAAAACAATTTAAACTGGAATTACATCGCCCAATGTTTTGGCCACTTGATCCAAAGGTCGACGTTTATTTCCTGGTTTACTATTGATCAAAGCCTTCTCGTTAATTGGTTCAATTATTTTACCTAATTCAGTGATTATTTTAGGTTCAATATTAAATCTAAATTGCGTTTCAGGATTCCAATTGGGGCCGATCGGTGCATTGAACTTTTTCTCAAACTCGGGAACATTTTTACAATTATAAGGTAATTCTTTTACCATGAATTTGGCGATCGCTTTATCCTTGTTTTCCGAAATGATGACATTGTGAAGCTTTTCATCGAGACGTTTTCTTTTTTCCGCTTTTTGAATAAATTGTTTCTTCTTTCGAATGTTGGTCCTAACACCGGGCCCAGCCCAAGATCCCCAACCAGGTAGATAATTATTAACACTTTTCTCTTGTTCTTCATCCATTTTCTCCCGTTTGTCTTGAACGAATTCAACCACAACATCATCTCCGTCAAAGGCTTCGGCGATCAGTTTTCTTTGTCCTTCGTCATCATCGTCACTTGTTACATTGGCATCTTCATCATCTGTGTCCGCATCAGCTCCCATCTCGTGATAATCCGGAATAGTCGTTTGTAAGACTTGCACTTTAGTATTTAAGATTTTCTTTGGATCAATCGTAATGTTGTCATTCGGCTCCTCTTCCTCTTGGTCATTTTCTTCCGCTTGACCATTCTCTTCCTCTTCGTCTTCCTCATCATCAGCTTTTTTCGTCAGAACTTTAACCTTTTCTTTTCTTTTTTCTTTTACTTTGTGTTCAATGTCTTTTGGAGTGATTTCTTTTTTTGACTTTTTCGTTTTAATCGCTTTCTTAACTAGATTAGTCTCTTCAATTGGACTGATAATCTTTTCTGGCTCTTCTTCATCAGCAACTTGCTCATTTTCAGCAATAATCTCCGAAGAAGTTAACAAAGATTTCTGACCATTAGCGGTGCTTCTTATTAACCAAGGATTGGGTTCTGCTATTTTATCATCATAAGCATCACTTGCCATCATGATTTCACCTTCTCCAAGATCTTCATCATTTGTTGCATCGATTTCATCTTCATTTTCTTCTTCCTCCTCAACCACAGCCTTACGAAGAAGAGTTTGATTGAGATGCATTTGCTCCTTGATATCTTCTCGTGTTTTCGTATCATATTTGGCTCGAAGAAGATTTTGTTTTGCCCATTTACCCGAATTGAGATGCTTCAAACTCGCTCTTTCAAGAGCTCTCATCTTATCCAATTGTGTCAGTTTCTCTAAAGCAGCTCCCGGATCTTTATGTTTCAACTGTTCAAAATTTTTCATCTCGTTTTTCAGTTTTTCTTTCTTCAACATTTTATGATACTTTTTCGACTTTATCTTTGCTTTTCTCTTTAATTTCGCCTCTTGATAGCCAATCAAAGCCCTCATTTTCTGTAGCTTTGCATGTCTCATCCGAGCTTCTTCAATGCTCATCTGATTCAAATATTTCTCCTCGGCATCGGTAAGAACCTTTTCCTTTTTAATAACATGACTTGAAGATGAAAGTAGTTGATCAATCTCTGTTTTCAATGGATTGGACATTTTGAGATTGAATTTACTATCAGCTGCTGCAACACTAGAAAAGTACAAATAGAATAAAAAAAAGAACCATGAGAATCCGGTAAAGCTGAATAAATTTCCATATTCTTTACTTACTTTACTTGTGGCTTTTCCAGAGGAAAACTAAGCTGAGGAGCTTCACGATTCTTATTGACAATCGGTTCCCATTTAGAAACTTCTTTAACAGTCTCTCCATAATTAACTTGTCTTTCAATCTTCTTGGTCAATGGTGTATTAAGAGGCAATGGAAGTAACTTCTTATGGGTTATCTTTCGGATTTGTTTCTTAATTTTACCAGTTTTATCAACAATACTATTCAGTAGATGGTGAATTTCAACCTTGTCCTGTTTACCACTGGATAAACCAAGTTCACCGAATACAGTTGAAGGTTCATTCCTTTTGGTAATCCTTTTATTATCATCCTTTTGGAATAATGAAGAAACGGTTGACACAAGGCTGGTTAATCCTTCCTTTCCTTCAGTGGTTTCAGTTGGATCAACATCAAGATCAATGTCCAACAGTTTGTCGTCCGAAGATGACTTAACCTTCTCTTGAGAGGCCATTTTCTATTTCGAAAGTTATTCAAATGATTAGAAACATAGAAAACAATTAACAAACAACTAGACCTTTTAAAAAGATTCAAAACATAAACATGAAGAAAAAAACTCACACGTTGTGATCACATTTTCTGTTCTTTCAGCGCCATCTCTACGTCTCCGGTGGAACTACAAAGAAAAAATGAAAAAGTTATCAGGTCAATTGATCGATTTAATTTTGTTGTTAAATTATCAAGATACTGAGAGAATTTAGTTTGTTACCTTAGTTACTATTTTGATGTTTTCTTGTGAAAACATATCCGAGGGAGAAATATGAGTCGAATATGAATTACTCGATCAAGATTAGAATCATAATTCACAATTAGTTTTGTTTATCTTGAATCGAGGATAAACTTTTGTTAATTAGTTAATTTGACCATTTAAAATGTTTCAATTTTTCAAATGTTTCCTTTTTTGTTAACTCAATATAACTGGATCAACGGCGAAATCCAGCTTACCGACCACCTCAGCGATTATCCCGATTACGAGTGAAACAAAAATCTAAAACAATTAAATCGACAATGAGTATGGGAGATTTTGAGACGACACTCGATTCATCGGCTCGAGAATCATTGGCATCGTCAACCCTTCCAATTGGAATCAGTGATTCAACCAGACATGTAACAATTAACCCCTCACAACGACATCACCATCACCAAAATCATCATCACAATCAACAGGCACATCAATCATCCTCTCGTGTCAATCAGTCCGTTGAGTCGCGTCGACATCCGGTTACATTGCATCTTAATTCATCTAATGGCTCTTACCCTTCTGAATTGGCCTCACTTCTTCGTCATATTGTTGAACATTCAGGATCACGACGAGCGGACGTGCTTCGAGATCTTCGTAAGTTATTGAAAAAAAGTGGAGGTCAATTGCCGGACGTTGATCGAATGCAGTTTTTTGAAGCTTTTTATCCAATGTTGATCGACTCGAAATGGAAAGTGGTCTGTGAATGTACCATGTTAATCGTCGACATAACGCCTCATATGGGTGAACACGATCTAGATCCTTGCATGGCCATCATTTTACCTCGAGTTGTTCCCAATTTAGGCCATGAAGTGACCGATGTCCGTCGAGCCTCATTGAGACTTCTTCATGTCTACATGAGATACACCAACAACCTACAAAAGGTACTTCGTCTGTACATTCAGTACGGTCTTGAATCGCATGATAAATCGGCACAAAAAGGGTGCGTTCTTAGTTTACCACTTCTTTTTACTGAAGAATTTTCGAAAGAGAATCTCTTTCCCTTGGTACAATCTTTAGGTCACCTTTTAGTTCATTCGGATGCTTCGTTATTTTATCCCATATTTTTGGCCATGCAACGGCTTCACAGCCTCGTCGGGAATGAGACCTTTCGTTTGTATCTTCAACATCTTTCACAGGAAACTGTTAGTCTTTATCAAAAAGTTTTATCTCGAGCATCAACAGCTGATTCGGGAGGACGACAAGAGCCCGATCTAATTAAAAATGAGCCAATCAATGATTGCGATAATGAAGGTGAAGATATAATTAAAAGGGATTCTAATCAAGTGAATGCAAACCAATCAAATGAATCATTTGTCCCGATAGAAAAGTTAATTACAACGAACGACTTACCTAAATCATCATTTGGTGAATGTGCTTTAGATGAAAATGAAACTTTAATTGGTCAAGACAATGTTGGTGGTCAAGGAGTTGAATGTGAAAATATTAACGAACCACAAGATCGATTAATGACCGGCGATTCGGCAAGTGAACTCGCGTCTAATGCAAGTGAATGTAAATCAAACTTCGCCAGGGAATATGTTCTAATCTATGGTATTTTTCCGGTCGCAGTTCACAATCGATCGACATCAAGCAAAATGAACGAGAAACTCGAAGGTCTCAATCAGATGATTTCAATTCTGAAAGAAGCTCCTGATTCTCATGTTGCCGCTCTCATCCCATATTTACCTCGATTTTTGGACTCTTTTATCTCGGTGACTGTTAATAATCCAAATTTTAAGGTTACTTTGATTGGTCTCGAAATGATTGAGTTGATTGTTGCTCGACTTGGAGTTTCAGCTTATCCGTGTTTAGATACAGTGATTGAAATTTTATTAAAACGTCTTGGTGATGGACGATCAGTGGTAAGGGAACATGATATCAAGGCCATTCATCGACTTATGTTACATTGGCCTCCACAGAATGTACTAGATATGCTTTTACGACATAAATTCAACCGAAATCCAAAAGTTCGTGAGGAAATAATTAATCGGGTCACTTTTGCCTTGTTAATGTTTCCTCGAACTGAATTCAATCTTCACAGGATAACTTATGAAATATCAACAATGTTGATCGACCCGAAGCGACAAGTAAGACTATCAGCCCTTGAATCAATCGCTGTTATTGCTCAAGCCCTCGGACCCTCGAGACTGGACACATTGTTATCAACTGTTTCCGCGATTGAACAAACATCAGAATCAGAAGGTCTTCTCAATGCTGTTCAAGTAAGTTCAACAGTCTATTCTAATAATTGTCCAACAGTAAATTAATTGCGATAATTTAATCAATTTCAGGCTCGACTTTCACGTCGTGATTTGCCCCGATGTAATCCCGATGGCTCGTTGAGATACGTTTTAAATGTATCTAATTTTTCGGGTTGGTTTCCATCGACATCCGAAGCAGACATTGAATGGGTTCTATTGGCCTCATCTACAGTCCCTCACATCGGGACACCACCCAAATTGAATCATCACTATTTAGGTCGGTTTAATGAACAGTATCGACGGTACACCATGAAACAGGCCGAAGCGGAAGGTTTTCATTTCAAAAATCCAAACCTATTGACAGAAAGTGAACCCGAAAGTGATAAAATTGATTCTAAATCAAATGAACCTAATCAAATGTTTCAGGTAAATGAATTATCATAGAGCATAAACATTTTGGGTTTACTTGTGGTCAATAAACTGACCATTGGTTTATTGACAATCCAGTCAATCAATTAACCGTGAAAAAGTTAACAGTAACCTTTGAATCTTGGAATCGACAATCAAATGTTATCGTAACTTGATCAATATTATTGAGAAAATACCTCCCAAAGAATTAAGATCAAAATGATCGTGAATTATTTCTAGGGTTCGATTGATTTTTTTCTGTTCTAATTTTCGAATCTTTTTATTGATGAATGTTCTTTTTTCAGGTCGATGATGATGATGGACATGATGACCAACGTCCATTAGTAAATTGTTTAACTTCAGAAGATGAAAAGAGTGAACAAAGTGATGAATCAATGAAAAGTAAGTTAATTAACTTATTGTTTTATAAATTATTCTAATTAATCATAAATTTTACCAATCAAATCATTCATCGTCTCGCCTAAATAACCAAAGTCAATGACCTCTTGACCAATGGTCAGTCTTTTATCTTCCTTGATGATAATCATTCATCACGATGAATATCAGTCTCTATCAAAGTAATTACGACAACCAATCAATATAAATTGTCACCTCCCAATGAACTTTATTTTTGCAACAATTAATCCACCAGATGAAATATATTAATAAAAGTCTAATATGGTGACCAATGAATATAATTTGAATTAATTGTGATCCATAAAGTTTCAGAACCTATCACCATGATAAGTGATTATAACCAACGGGCCATTACCTGTGACCTGATTATCAGAGTTTGATTTTAATTACTAAACTAATAATATTTGGGAGATGGACAATCAAAAATACTCTGACCACTGATTGCATGGTTGACCACAGAATCAGAATCTAATTAATCTCAGTTAGTCTCAAACCAATATTAATAATCAAATTGTTGAGAAAAACAAAAACCATTTAGGTCAAACTCAAACTCACGTGACAATTAAAAACATTGATTGACCAATAAAAAAAATATGATACCAATACAATGACCACCATAGAGACAGAATCAGTAGTTAATGAGATATTTATCTGAATGATAATTTACATTAATGGTCAACAATTAGTTGATATTTTGAGGGAAAAGTAAATAGCTAATCAATTGACCTCAATTATGTTTGCTCTACAATAGATAATTAAATTATTCCGATAATCATTAATTTCCCGATATCTGATCAACAATAATTAGCTCACAATTATCTTTCTCTCCTTGCTTTTTATTCAATATTTTCAAATGTTGACCATTATACTGACCATCACGTAGTGAAAACAACAAAAAACCATGAAAGGTATTACCTAAGTAGAAATCGATGCTGAAAACAATTAAGAAAAAGCTTAATTTTATCTTTTAACAATTAGAAAATTAGTCTCTGAAAAAAGTTTAATTGTTCCCTTTGCAACCGAGTTAATTGTAATAATGATTAATTCTTGTATCAATTATTAGGCCGTGATTTATGGCGATACTATTTCATGAGATTCAAGCAACATTTGGCTGTAGCAACTTGTTCAAGTGCGAGCTCAGGTAAGAAACATAATCAATTAGAACTTTTTTCACTTCGAACTTTCCAAACTTTTTCGAAACTTTTTCTAAGTTGAATTACACTTACATTTATAACAAAAGAGTGTTAAAAGTTAATTGATATCATTAATTACCTTTTATCAGCCCACTCATCTTCAGGTGATTCTAAAGCTCTGAGTTATTAGATTGTTAGTTTTAATTATGAAAGTTGAACTAAATTGTTCCAGAATAAGGAGCATCTTTCCATGGTGTTTTAATGATAAATAATTCAACAAATTTGAATGTATTTCTATGTATTATTGCATCACAGGTTAATAATTATTTAGGTAAATTAAGGTAGCAATTAATTTCCAATGAATTTACTGATTTGTAATCGTGAATATTTATAAACCTTGACTGTTAACTGAGTATTCATTTAGTATAACATATTATCGTGACAATTTCATGTCAATTGAATTGAAAATTGTTTCAATGAATGTAAATCATTGATAATATTCATCAACAATTCTGATAATTTCTATGCTATCCAATCCTCAAGAAAGTTAATAGTTATCATCAGGAATATACTATATATCTAATCGTAATCAGAGTGAATCTTAGTCACGAATTAATCTCTTGACCAATATGAATGTCCACTTTCTGCTCTCTCTCTTTTAATGGAAATTTTCCCTAATCAATTCATGAGAATCTAAAATACACGAAACAAATCATCTCAATTAAATGTTACAATTAATCCTCATTCATCTTAACCTAATTAACTTTCACTCCTTGTTTGAAAAATAATAACAAACTATTAACAATTTATTTTAACTGTAACACTTTTCAAACAATTAGTTACAATCTAGACTTTTAATATTTCTCGTCTGTGATTTACTTACGAATCAACAATTAACCTTGATTGTCCACCAATTCAATTTGTTTTCATATGAATTAAATTACTTGACGATCGTGATGAATATTTGTGAACAATCAATTTAATTGTTTAGCTATTATTAGATTAGATTTGTTATTGATTGTGACGATTTGGTGATTGATTCATTTCAATCTACATTTTTTAATCAATAAATTAAGTTCTCAGACAATCAATCATGACTTTTGATTCAGTCCATCATCATGAAAAAACAAAATAAAATGACCAATGCATAAGTTTCAATTATTTGATGTCTATTAATCCGTAATGAATATTGAATTATCCTCAGCAATACTAATTAAATTGATTGATTAGTTAGATATTCTAATTCATATAATATTAATACATAGTTTTTTACTGAACAGTTTCAACTTGAAATAAGTCAATACAATCACCATGTAAACAACCATGAGAATGAGTTTCAAATGATTTTCAATCATTCAGTGAGTTGATTAAATTATTCTGAACATCAATTCCGCCGCAGTGGAAAAACAAACATTGAAAAAAATATAAAGCAAATATCATTTGTATATTCTTGACCGTAGATTATGATTGTTATGACAGTCAAGTCATTGATTAACTCATCATGATCAACATGAAAATGATCTATGAACTCCGGTTGATCAACCACAACCAGCAACAATTAAGGTTATCATTCAGCTACTTATAAGGAAGCTTGTTTATAAGACTGAAATTTTCCAACCTTGACACCAACTTAATCGGACTTGGATTTAATGACCTTTGCTTATCTTATTTCCATCTTCCCACTTTGAAATTGATCTTTATTAGCGATATCAAGCCGATCAAAAACTGCTGACTGGACAAAAAAGTTCGACCACGAACTTGATAAAAGTTCTAGACGCAGCTCATTCAGCCAGTTAACCGACTACAATTCTCACCAACATCAAGCTCATCATTCATCTTACCAAAAACTTAATTTCGATCCAAATACAGCTGATCACAATAATCATCCTCCCACTGGTACAGATAATTGTGACCATAATGCTGATGATGAAATTGAATCACAAATGAGTCAAAGTTACGATGAATCGTTTCACAACGATAATATTGGCTTATTAGTTAACCATCGTGATAATCGTGCATTCTCAATGCCAAGTATAACAACGGTTGGACTCACAGAGTCTCAACCTGAACAATCACACCATCCTGATACTTATCGTCATCACCATCATCATCATCATCACAATCATCATCTTGCTAATCAACATGAAAATGAATTTTTTTACCCAAATAATAGGAGAAAAAGTGTTCAAATTTCATCTTATCCTCACTCAGTTCCCAGTTCACCTGAAAAACGAAATTCATTTCAAACAGAATCAGATTTTGACATAGCCTTTGAACGACCGAGTTCAACATTGATACCAAGTCCACCCTGTCACAATTACCATGAAGATGATCCAGTTAATTGTCATGAATCGTCTTTAAATATCCCAAAGAATCAAGGAATTGGTTCAAGAAGAGGGTCAACTAATATGCAAATGGATCCCCAAAGGTAAATTTAATCAACTAATTGATTCCCTCAACAACCGTTAATTATAATATGATTAGTAAGACTTTTTATCAACTTTAATTAACTTACAATCTGTTTATCATTGATTGTTACAAACGAGAGCAATACATACAACTTATCAAGTAATATAATCTTTTAATAATTGGTATCAATTAGTTTGATTAATACACTTGATTTTATGATTATTTTGTTTGGTTCTTGATTTACAATCTATCGACTAAAACTGTTGATTAGAAGACAATTAGTTTACATACACCCTTTGAATACTTAATTGAATGGTCAACGTTTCATGAATTTTAATCAATGTTGATAAATTCGACCTGATTAAAGCTTAATTTACTAACAATGTCCTTGTTCAATAATGAATTGGTAAAAATTAGTTGTTTTCACGATACAGTTAATCGTTAAAATATTACAATCAGCCTAAAAATGATGATTATGATTTTAAATGATCACAATCAATTCAAGCTCTTATTAGCATTTCGGTCAATTTACTGATCAACTTATCATTAGTCATTATATTAATGACAAAACAAGAAAATTGATCAACTTAAGAGGATAATAAAGTCATTAAATCAAATTATTGATGCTAATTAGTATTTCATTTATGATTACAGATCAACTGATGGGCAATCAAAAGACAATCAAGAATCAAAAACGAATCGACGTTCGTCAGTTTTACCATCGGTCAGTATTGATCAGCCAACTGAATCAGAGGACAATCAAAGTGAGGATAAAAATGAAGGTGATTTTGAATATAAGTTAGAACGAGAACTTGATTATTAATTAGATTTCATTTTATTTCTATTTGATTAGGAGATAAACAAACGATGGTCAAGCAAAGTCTTCCAGATGACGAAGGAAAGTCCAATATTAAGTGCAATGATAATTGCTCTTCAAGTGATCTACCACTTATAAGTGATAAGTTGACTGGTCAGCCTGAAAGTGATCAAAGAGTCCGGTTAAATCAAGTTGACAAAAATGATGAAACTAATAGCAAGATGATCAAACGTACAACAGAAAATGATGACAATTGTGACAATTCAAGTTTATCGTCATCGAAAAGTGATGATAATGATCAGGCTAATGATCAAGAAGAGATTAAACAAGATAATAATGAGACTAATCATGAAGATGATAATGAGAATGATGATCAACAAACAATTGAAAATGAAGATAATACAATTGTTGAAAATGAACAAGTAATCAAAACGAATGAAGTTAAGCCAAAATCTCAAACTCCTGGAATGAAAAGAAAATCAATTCTTGTCGGAGGTCGAAAACGAGCCTCACGAAGCTCATCTCCCATTTATAGACAACCACAATATCACATGATTCGAATTCAACCAGCTATTCCTCCGAATGCCAATATTAGGCATATTATGGAGAATGTGGTCAAAACCGAAGGCTCTTTTGATAATCCACAGGAAGCACTGAGAGCGGCTCTGGCCGCTTTCGGGGAAGATGCTTGGACAACCAAGGTTGAAGGAATGCTAGCGATCACTAGGTTAGCCTCTTTTCATCCGTCAATTCTACAAAAGGACTTTCACTCTGTCATCGTTTCGTTGGTCGATGAGGTCAAAAATCTCAGATCAAGTGTATCGAGATCAGCGATATTTACTTTAGGTGATCTTTTTGGTAAAATGAAAAAATCTATTGAATCTGTAAGTTTCATCTCAATCTATTATAATATGTACATTTTTCAATATAATTTCATTTATTTTTCAAGGAGATTGAGCTCATCGGGTCTGCACTTTTGGCCAAATGCTCTGAAAATGCTTCATTCATTCGTGAAGATTGTGAGAAGGCGCTAATGTTAATGGTGGAGGAAATGCCACAGATCAAATCGGCACTTGTTCTTGTTCATTGGGGAGCCAAGTAAGTTATAAGAACGATTGATTTCATTTTGATTCTCATCGAATGTCTAAATTTTTCTATTTTCTAGTCATCGTAATATGAATGTTCGTCGAACTGCAGCTTTTTTCTTGTCAACTCTTGTTGAAAAAATGGGACCTGTTAAATGTCTGATGGGTCCTAAAGACATTGGTGAGCATTTACTTCAATCATCTTCGAAGTTTCTTCAAGATGGTTCACCGCATACTCGATTTTATGGTCGCAAGATATTCGCTGTTTTACTTAATCACAATCAATTCGATAAATTACTTCGTAAACACGTTACCCCGGGAACTTATCGCAATATTTGTGGTATTTTAGAAAGTATTAAACGAAGAGTAAGTTTCGACAACTAATATTAAAGTCTGTTTCGTTTAAAAATGACCAAGGTAAAAAAAACTAATCAGTAACTTAACTCACCTAAAAAGATGATAAAGATGATAGGGAAAAGATCAATACTTTGCCTTTGATCTCTGTGATTTTTCATTTTCACCTTCAATTTCATCTTATCTTTTTCTTAATCATCATTGATATCATTTTTTAAGGTAGATTGAGACATTCATTGAGATAAGTTTGTTTACTTTGGCCGTTTTTGAACGAAACACCCTTTAGTTATTAACTATTAGAGTCTTTATCATTTGAGAGCTAATTAACAATCAAACCCTTATTACTTTTGTGTTCACAGGGCGTGGGCGAGAAACCAGCTGACTTAACTACCCCAATTAAACCGTAATTATGTTTAAATAAAAGCACAACGTTATATCCACAATTAGACCGAATCAGCTTACAAATTCCTTAGATTTTAACTATTTAACTGATCGAGAAACGTCTTAACTGTAAGCTAAAATTGTTTAACTTCAATAAAAATGTATCACTTATAGCCAACGATTATTGGAACAATAAAAATGTAACCAACGATTTGCTTGTAGATTAAATTGTAATAGTAAAATACAAAAGAGCGTTTCAATTATTTAGGCTGATCCGAAGGTTTCGTAAGAAAATTCAAAATAATAAACGAACTTGGACCAATGATACCAAAGGATTAATGAATACAAGCAAAGATCAACGGAATAGGACATTACAAACTTTCCATTTTAATTCGATCACGAGATTCTCGATTTATTGTCAATCAGCCATTTGGTTTCATTATTAGAGACAATGCTTACGGAATCAAACTTTTACATCAAATTTTGAGCTTAGCTATAGCATAGAGTGGTATTTTGAACTATTTTCATAAAAATATATACAGAGTGAGAAGAAAGTTCTTGTGAAAGGAGATGGAGGTTGAACCGAATTTAGAAATGTAAGTGTTTATCTGCGCATCTCTAATCCTTATTTTCCCTCACACGAACTTTCTTATCACCTTGTGGGTTTATACAGGGCTATTCAACTTCATTTTACGCAGATTTTTAGTTACAAGTAAAGAACCAATGAGTTTAAAAAGATAAAACCTCGTACAGATACATATCAGGACTGAAGGACATAGTATAAAAAGTTTCAAGGTCATTGAGGTCATTTCAAGATGAACCTATCTAGAGGTCAGTGGAATAATTTTTTGTTCTTCTCTTCAAAAAAAATTTAAATGACCTCTAGATAGGTTTATCGCGGAGAGAAAGAGATTGATCAGGATGAGTAGTTGAATTTTTGACTCTAATTGAGAGCTTTGAATGTTGGAAATTCAACAGGCATAGGTTAAGAACAAAAATTGAAACCCGCAAATAATTTTTCAATTGAAAGACACATTAATTCAAAATTCTTTTAATGTTGATGTCTTGCCAAGAACATGCCATGGGAAGAAAGATTATAGGTACCAATCTTAACAGTAAATGAACATGTAACAATTATAAAGTCTTACAAAAAGAAACGGGCTTCATGCTTCCGCGATTTGACTTTCTAAAACTCTTTGATAATAAATTCTACGATTTTCATCTTATAAACCGAATAAATAACTAAGACACAATGAAAAGTAGTTGCACTTTACTTCCCGTAAAGTCCACGCGTGATCGCGGGCTCCTTCCAACACACGAATTCCATAAAATATGAAAACCCAATCAACACGGGGTGTACCACATGTAAAATAATTTAACATAAAAAAATGGCAAACGATGGAAAAGATTCAATGAATGAAAATTAGAAGTTTGAAGGTTTATTAGCATCTGAATCAGATGATCTGACGAAATTTTGAAAAAAGCGTCAAAGTAAGTGAAATTAAATTGCCCGATTGACCAAAACAATAAAATGTCGTTTTGAGGTGACCTGTCATTTGTTAACTCAACTTCACTGAATGCGTTTCTAGTTCCCATACGATCGTATGTCACAGACTAGATTATTATGTGAACGCTCAATTATATTTAATTTCTTTACGCGGCTATTTCTCTTCTCTCTTTATTGAAATTCAAGTTTAATAACAATGTTCAACAATACTAATAGTTGAAGGATACGAAAAGAATCAAAAGTCAAAAGAAAGAGAAAATTTGAAAGTTTGATAACTTTTGACCCTTGACCCCTATAACATTGGTTTGTTTCATGTTGGTGCAGAATTCAAAAAGCTATCGAGTGGTAATTTTGATATCTTTGTAGTGCTTCAGGTTCTTCCAAAGAGTAAAGAGTTACTCTTTGGGTTGATGTTTGCATCCAAAAACGTGAATCGTAATAATTACCTCAATTGTGTGATTATTTGTTATCAATGAATAACGAAGATGTATTAATTTTGAGAGAGGAAACAAAAATAACTGAAAATTTGTATTTGTTATTATTAATAGATGATTTTTTTTCGTTGCTAGTTTTTGGGACGTACAATAGCCAATTGTAATTTTGGCTCATTGAATAAGGAAGATGCGATAATAATTGGAAAGTTGATTAAACAGAAAATGTTTGACTAAGTACATTATATTTGTTTGATCCTAATCTTGTTGCGTTTTGTTGCGAATCGATAGATATTTGTTTGGCCTTTTTGTATTAATTGTCGAATTGATTGTGTAATAATTTCTCTTGGACAACAGTTGATAAGTTCACAGTTTCATGGTTTAGCTTTGGAAATAGACTGATTTGCTCAAGTTGATCAATAATTTGCTCTACACATGATCGGATTGGATGGAGGTTAGTTTATCCAAGATAACAAGATTTTCATCGTTTCCACTGTTATCAAAATTTTTGCTTGATGATGAATTTAAGTCACCATCTTTTTTCTTCTCATGCTTCTTGGACAGACTTGGGATGGTTGTTGACGATTGGCTTGTTAATGAAGTCGGCGTTGTTGGTGGGGTAATGGAGGTTGCAATTGATGTAATTACTCTTGACACTGGTTTTATTCGTAACGATGCGGATGATGTTAACAGTCTTGTTGTTGGAGTTAATATTGGATCGCCTTTGCTTGATTCTGTTGTTCCATCAGTTTCGTTGGACGAATGCAGAAAACCAGCACCTTTACGTGATTTTCGAAAGCGAAATGTTTTCCTACTTTGAGCTTTTTGACGTTGTAATCTATGTTTAGGTCGATCAGGATCTTCAATTTCAGATGAAATCAAGCCAGTTTTACTTGCGTCTTGATCAGAACTTTCAGATTTCTCGTCTTCTTTTCTCGAACTTGATTCATCTTCTAAACTATTGCTTTCATTATTTTTCTTCATCTGTTCCCGTCTGTTTGCCAATTTTCTTGCTTCAGCTGTAGATTTACGGAACAGTCGAGGTTCTGATTGTGTTTGTTCCGGCTTTTCTTCTGGTTTTTCACCTTAAATAAAAAGAGTACAGAAAAATAATTATGAATGTTATGTTATAATTATAATAATATTGAAGGAGAAAGTTTGATAATTACTTTTTGTTCCTGTTTCTACTGGGTTAGAAGGGTAACTAGTGCGACGAATAAATCGATCAAATAATTTTCCTTTGTCATTGTTTTCTACTGGAAGTTTAACACTCGTTCCTCTATTCAAATTGGTTCGATCAATGCGAAAGCTTAGTCCTCGCAATAACGACGGACGCTTTGGTTGACTAGTAACTGTCCCTGATTGACTATCAACGGTATAATCTGATGCCTCTTCTGCTGAAGCTTGAGATGAAGAAGCTGCTGGTTGACCTCTTGCTACCCCAGGGTGAAGGGATGAAGGTAAAGTGAAACTGGGACGATGACCAATCCCATGAGAAGACTTTGTTTTCTCATCAATTCCCATCTTTTTCGCGACAAGATCTTCTTTGAGACCACGAAGCTCAGCAAAAAGACAGACTAATAGTTGACCTCGACTGCGGCAATGAGGCATATTTTGGCCTTCTAATTTACAACGGATTTGGTGTTGATAAAAATATTCTTGATCATAATTACATATTTTTTGTAACAGTTTGTAACGAATTAAAGGAAGAAGTAAAACGAAAAGAGGAGTTCGATGAGTAACAACAAAATCGATGAAGTTCCAGAAAGTGACACCTTTCAAGTTCTTATTGGCATTTTCACGAATACAACGAGCAATTCGATACCAATCATTTGACAATTGTCTCTCGAAACAAACAATCATTATTTTCAGACCCAAAAGTCCGATTTGCTGAAGTGATGGTTGAAAAGCGGGATTAGAGAGTAGAGATGAAGATTCAGCTGATTTGGATCCACTTCCACCTCCAGGTTTAGATGAAGATGGATTGAGTGAGTTGAGTATTACAGAAAGTATAAAAGTTATATCACAGGGACGAAGTTTGGGCAAATTGTTGAGTCCACCAGAGATTCGAATACACATCGGATAGATCATGTTCAATAAATAGATTTCTGTCTTTTCTGGACTCGAAAATGCTCCCGAACAAAGTGTCTCAAGTGTTTGCGTTTCACCTAATTGTAATAATTGCATTGCAATCAGACGGACTGCAACTGAACAGAATCCAGGAGGGGGAGATTGTGACAGAGCCATGGCCCATGATGATTGACTTGGAATATTATCACCAATTATTCCAGAATTACCAGAATCACCCAAGATGATATTCTGGCCAACAGCAATTAATGATTTAAGATGAGGTAGATGAACAATATATGGATGCTTAATGAATGTTGAATAAACTCCTTTCAATAATCTTTTAGCTGCTTCCCAATCAGTTAGTCGTTTGACTGCCCCTTGTTTTGCGATTTTATTAAACATTTTATCTAATCGACGTAAGATCATAATCAACGCTGGTCTCATTGATTCCTGACGCCATTCAGAGTTTGGCAAAACTTCATTCATATAACGAACTAACCCCCGACAGGCCATTGTTTGTGGATCATAGGGACTAACTTTGAGTAGAGAATGAGCAACTTCAGCTAATCGAAGGTGACATTTTACGTCCAGCAACTCGTATGACGAATTTTTCTGATGTAAATCAGGAACTTTCTTACTCAAATCAGCTAAACGAATCGCTGATCGAGTCAAAAATTCAGTAACTATATTAAGCAAAGTATCTCGGGGACGCCGAAAATCAGCTCTTATTGTATCAGCATCTTCGTCAGCATGTTGTTGCCGAGAGCGAGTTGGAAAATAATTTTCACCCATAAACCTGAAAAAAGGAAAATTAGAGAAATAAAGTTAATCAATCAATCACCATTGAAAATTGGACCAGAACTTACTTTGAATGACTATCTTCGTCTACATCAATTGGAGGAGAATAAGCTCCTCGTGAAGTATTTTTCATACTCGAACCTCTGAGATCAATCGCTCGTTGGGGTCCAGTAAAATTCCTGCAATCAAACAAAGATAAAAATTAATCAGTTAATTTTCCATCTCAAGTGATAAACTTGAATTTACCTTGTCAAAGCTTCACAATTGCGAATAAGTGTTTTGATACAAACAGAAATGTTATGAATCATTTGAAGCTCTGTTTTTGGTCCACCGGGTGTCTCTTTTTTCATTGTAAGATTTTGCATATGTTTCATGAATAAAGGGAGTATCGTTTCCAGAATCGTCAACATTTGATGTCCACGCTGCGAATCAGCGGCATAAGCGGCAACAGTTACGCACAGTGAAACTGCATCCAAGATAGTTAAGGCTTCTGGGTCCATTTGGTAGCAGAAATCCAGAGCCTTCAATGGTTTCTCTGTATCTACAAGTTCAAGTATATCTAACGGGTCAACAATATATTGACCAAGCGACTGAAGAAGCTGAAAAAATGCTTTGGCTGGATCCGTGAAGCATCACCGATCGATGTTGTACTATCAATGTCCAAGATCGGAGCGGCACTTCCGAACATCTATCATAATTGAATTGAACAGAATTTGATACAACAAAAAAGTTGATTAAAAGGCTAATTAACTAAGGAAAATGGTGATGATGAAATACCTGAAGTATGAAAGGTTTTCTATGTAAGATGTAAAACTGTTTACAAACAAATTCGATGGTTCGACAAAGTAAACCATTGGTCTGATGATTTGAATAAATACGAAGGAGAGTTGGCATAATTAATAAGTAGCCATTGGTTGAGAAGATATTTTAAATTGATGAGCAGCATTTAGAAAAGTGGCCATTGAGAGTCTTAGGACAGCCGCGTCTTCACAATGAAGGACTAAACCTCCATTGACCACATTAAGAAACAAATGAATATCAGCTGATTGGGCGAAAAATCCTGAGGTAACTTCCAACATTCGACTGACCAGTTTGACCCAAACAATTTTATGTAAAGTGTCCATTCCAAGCATTTGTTTACCCATCGAACCTTTGTACAAATTGAAATTAGCCTCCAGAGCCTTACGGGGAAATGCAGGTAATTTCATCAATTCTTCATGGAGAAACAAAACCCTTTGTATTGCCAGATATTGAGATTTAACGATTGATAAGCTCATTAAAGTCTAAAAGTAATTAGGAAAAATTCAAATCAGTGAATTTCTATGAAAAGTCAAGTTTTAATCATTACCTTTCCAAGTTCCACAAATTGCAATTTGAATGCTTGATCCTGAAGTTTTTCGTAGGCTTCATTTGGATTCATTCGTACCAACGATAATTGTGGATATTGAGATCGTTTGAAGAAATAAAAATCTCGAACGTAGGCATTTAAATTATGCATTTGATCTGAAAAAAGTATAAAAAAAATGATCATTCGATGGTCGTATGGCACTTATGATACTCGACTTACTTGTTTTTGTGTCCACAAGATAATATTCATTTACAAGAGATAAGTCAATATTCATTGTATCTAAACTATCGATAAGAACCTGATAAAATTGTGTATCTTCGTGAATAGGAAATTGGGAAGGAATTGTGGCAGCATCATTGCTGTGGACGATAACCTTTTTAGCACTTGGAACGTTTGCAGTTATTAGAAGAGTGGCATCACATTGTTCTTTTCGAAGAACTTGTTTCAGATCTTTGAGGAATAGTCCGTGAACTGAAGGTATCACGAGCCAAAGAACCGACAGAGTTGTGCCAATCATTTCTTGACTTCCTTCGATTGGTGAACGAACATAAAACATAATGAAACCGATGAGGTAATTGTACAAAGTGTAAGCTGCTTGAGCGGGAAGTCGAGGCATGAAACGGATTAGACGACGAAGTATCTGAAAGATCATCTGTTGACCTTCACGGGTAAGTTTTTCAAATAGATGGCGAAGGAAAAGAGAAGTGTCTTCAACGAGACAATGCCAGACCACTTTGTATGCAACCTCGTATATTGCGGATCCCGTGCAACTGACCTGAGGATCATTGAGTAGATTAATTATTGTGATGGCTGCTGAGCAAAGACAAGAAGGAAATATTGCTTGAGCTACTTGTTTGTGGTGCGAAGCGGGTTTTTCAATGGCGACATCTTCATCGCCCTCTTCTGGTTCATCGGCTCTGAAAAGTGCTGGTTCGTAAGCTGCTTCATTGCATGTTGGTATTGATGATATGCGATAACTTTCTCGTTCTTCACGAAGTTTGGCCTCTTCATCTTGTAGGACCTTGTGAACTAATTCAATTTGCTGTTTTCGACGTGTTTTGGTCGCAGTGACAAAAGACTTTTGTAAAACTTGTTCTTGACTTATTGTCACTTCTCAACTTTTGACTTTGTCGGTGGCATCCAAGGTGGATCGGCTACTGGCATGGTGGGTAATGCAATTTTCGGTGACGGCAACGTGAACTCAATCACCGGCGGAGGCACTTTGAATGTCAAGTGAGCCCCTTCTTCCATCCGTTGCCAGCACTGGTGACGAGCTCTCCAAATAGCGTAGAATTTATTAATTGCTTTGATTCTATTGGAAGGATCTTCAGACGATAATTCGTCAGCAAGTAACTTCGAAGCATAATCTGGACTTCTAACTGCTGAGATAATGAATGCAACAGAACACGAAGCTCGAACATCTTGATCAGTCTCGAGAATCATTTTCCATGACAATGAAAGAAGTGAATTTATTGATGGTGACGATAGATTGAGAAACCCTTTAATCAGCGCTGAAATCGAAGTGTGGAATAAATTTTTAACATGATTGTTGATGAAAATCAAACTTGGATTAGATTGACAAGTCAATTTATCTGAACCAAATCGTTTCCAAGGGTCAGCACAACCTGATCCTGTTCCCGCTTCAACATCGTGATGGGACAAAAATCCAGTTGAACTGTGCAAAGAATGAGTCTTGAAAAAATTATCTCTATCTACATATCGGTCGGCATTATGAGATGAGCTCAATTTCCGTCTCAATGGTGAACTTGGTCCAGTGATGATTTTCTTAAATTTCTTCTCCTTTTTAAGAGCATCTTCCTTATCATCGATAACTTTAACTATGGTCTCGAGAGAAGGGGTATCATTTGGTTCCTCGTAAACTTTTCTGATCACCTTAATCAACTTCGAACATGATCTCATTGACCGATGGTAACAATTGACTGTACAGTTATTTTTATGACTACATTCAAAATCAAGAGAGTTGATGACATTGATGATGACTTTAAGCCAAGGCATATTATGAGTTATCTCCGTGTCATCAGCTGATAACATATCACTAGGGTCACAGTTTTGTCCATCATCGGACATCACACCAGGCGATTCTTCACCGCTCACATCTGCTCTCTCACTTGTATCACTTTTCTCTGAGATTCCGCTCACTTTTCGTCTTGACTTCAAACTATCCGCTCTCTGGATTAAATTGCTAGTTAACCCAACGGAATCTTCATCATCTTCAGGTACCATCGTTGATGCTCTTTTAGGTCGCCGGTCAGCTTGATTTCGTTTTAACTTTATACTTCGACGTTTGAAGCTTCCATTGTGTGGACTGTTTGACGCTGTTCCAGTTGCACGACGAAGTAGATTTGGTCGAACTGCCTGACTAGAGCTTTGAGATGATCTTTTCAGTGATTTTGTTGGTTCATTAAAGTTCCCAGCTCCTGGTCCGTTATTCACTCCTTGACCGGTATGATCACCTTCTGTCCCAGTAACAGTTGTATTACTACTGTGATCAGAATTATTTTCACCATCGGCCTCATGTAATACAAAACTAATCCTCCGTTCACCTCCATGAAGCGGTTGACCATAGTTTTGCTCAGCAAGGGACATTAGACTGTGAGCTGAAGTTTGACTGAAGCCAAGACTGGACAAGGCCATTGACCAACGTCTATTAGCGGTCATGGTTCGAGTTTCAAATGTGCTAGGCTGTCTTATCGATGATTTCGAGGCACGATTGGGTAAATACTGATGAGTTTCTCTAAGAAAAGTGGTTATTTCGAGAAGCAGACAGCAAGCGGACATTTTCAATGAGAATGGACAATCGTTACCAGTTTGACCAACGGTTGTCGATTCAATGAGAAATTCTTCATTTTCATCTTCACTTCGAAATTGTTTTCTCTTATTTTCGTCCAAATTCGCATTGGATTCGTCATCTTTCGAGACATTTTTCTCATTGAAAATTATCTCTTCAATATGAGCTCCCAGCGCTTCTGCCCAAAGATAAAACATTCGTCCAGCATTTCGATGAAGACTTTGGGAAGCTCTATCACGTAGACATGACCCAGAACCACTTTTGGCAGTTCCAGGTCGAAAGATGGGAAAGTTCAACTTCATCCAACTTGGCCACGAACCTTTGTTGCACCTATGGACGAAATGAGCACATTCAAGAAAGAAAGCAGCTCGAGCCAAAACGGGAGCCTTAATATCAAGAACGGCGGCAATTAATGGTGGATCAGGAAGCGTTCCTGGTGCACAGGTTTCCAAAAGAAAAGAAAACTTAATCATCCCATTACGAATCGCTGGCATACAGATCAATCGATTATCTCGATAAGAAATTGTCTCTTCGGCTCGATAGTTTCCTTCCATTTCAAATGAGTCCCTTCTTTTAAGTGTGTCCAGATTATCTTCGAAACTTCCTTGCTTATTTTTTCCTTTACCAAAAACATTTTTGAACTGATCTTCCATTCGCTTACGAGCTTTCAGAAATGTTGACCCAACATGGCTGGCTGATTTTCCAACCATTTTCGGTGTTCGATTTTGAAAACTTGATCGACGAGAAAGTTTATCACCATTCGCAGATACATTGAGGATGCTTTCGTTGTATAAGGCACTAATCGGTCCAGCTAATACACTTGGTCCTTGGCTACAGTTTGAGATTATTCCTAATCCAGAAGATTGAATCTCTGATTGGTGAAGAAAACCTTCGGGTTGACCTGTTCCCACACAAACGCCTTTGCCCGATCGATCCCCTTTTAACCAGTTGACTAGATTGAATTCGTTTTTATTATCCATTTGTCCGACGGGCATTTTGCTTGATTTCTGAGACAATAGATCGTCATCAGTGATACTCATTCGAGGTGAGGCTGATCTGTTTATTTTAAGTAAGGCGGGTGTACTTGAGTGACTCGAAGGAAGGTTGTTTGATGTTCCCAAATTAACACCACCAATTCCACTTCCTCCGTCACCTCCTACAGAAATTGGTGCATTTACAGTATTAGTTCCAGCGCCGGTACCTCCACCAGGCCATGTGTAGTTGGGATATTCATCGACAATACTTTGATTACTTGGAGCTTTTTTAATCCCGACATTACTATTCTTTTTGCGAAAGAAAGACTTTCGATTAGATGAGTGTTTCTCACTTTCCACAGTTTCAATTGGAGTTCCAGTGAACATGAAAGGACTTGGTGTATATGCAGTTCTGAGGTCAGAACCAACATCCGGTTCACTGCCACTTGTTTTCCCTAAAGTACCTGATCGACCTGGAAGAGGTCGACCAGATTCAAAAGCTGATTTATTACGAGTAGTGACACTTTCAAGACTCTCTAAAAGGCCACTTAAGGCCACTCGTCGAAATGTACCTCCATGATTGTCTCGAATGTAACCAATTAACTGCCTTATATCACAATACATGGACATATTTTCTTGGGCTTTCAGCTCTTTTTCCATCCAACTAGTCGAGTAATCAAGGAATTGAATACACAACCGATAATCACCCCTTCGACTCCAGATGATCCTATTCGTTTGAATCCTGCACCAAAATTATTCGCATACCCTGTTCGTCCATGCTCTTTATTTACATGGTTACCTAAGTGAGCTGAGAGTCCACCAGTTGATAGTGCGGGTCCAGTTGAGAGTCCACTGCATAAGCCATTGACCGGTCGGTTTCGAGTTGAGCTATTGGGGGAAATAATTGGAGATCGTTCTGAGCAAAAGCCAAGAAAAGCATGAAAAGTGTCGATAACTTCCTGAAGTGGCCGACGAACGACCATATCCTTGAGAAAATCGTTGAATTCGGTCTCACTAGTATGATAAAGGAGCGTTAACATGTCAACAATTTCTTTTCTTCCAGACTCTGATTGACCCGAAGTGTGACCTTCATGACAAGAGTATGGACATCCAAGATTACGGTAAACTTTCAACACTGTGTCCAAAAAAATTTGATAAACATTGAGCTCCTCACTTGAGGTCAGTTTTAACTTTTGAATTGTATTAGGTGATCCATCAAAGGTACTGGTTAACATATCGGGTGGATCAGGTGCATTATAATTATGAAGTAAACCCATCGTTATAAGTGAATCAAGGATACTAATAATACCCTCACAAACGCGTTTAGAGCAAACATTATCACGTAAACTGACCGAGTGGACAGCTTTCAAGATCACAAGTAAACTTAATTGGCCTGAACGAGCGATATAATGAACTGATCCCGGCGCTTCGTTTGATGGATCAGTAAAATAAGTTATATTAGAATCGGTTTGACTTCGAGTTATTGAATATTGTCTACAAGGTGGATAACAAATAGATCGCCCTCCAAATCCAGATCGATCATCTTCTCGTATACTATCATTAGTGTCTTGATTAATAAAGAACTGGACCGATGCAACAGGTGAGTGTTCGGTAACCGTAATGATTGGATTGGGCACGTTGAATGTACACTGACCAACATTACCACTGGTCTCACCTGTCGCACTAGTACTTTCACCTCCTCCTCGATCGCCAAGATTAAGATTCATTCCTCCAATTGATGTTACTCGTTTGAAAGAAAGTTTCGAATCAAATAAATGTGAAACTTTCTCTAAACTCGGTGAATCTGAACCATGTTTATCGGAATCAAATAAATGAAGTGAAGGCATACTCTTGCCTCGAATCAGCTCGAACTTAAGTTTACACCATTTAGAATCTTTGGTTGAATCTGATTCTCCATGGAACCCGAGAGCTGATTTAGGTCGAGGTGGGTGAGGTTTTTTTCCATCGTGTTTCTTACCAACAGAATGTTGATTAATCGACGGTGATTTATCTCCCAGAGATTGATTATTCTTCCGTTGAATTGAATTTGAAGTATGATGAAGATAAGGCGAAAATGATTGCTCGTTTGATTGATCATTGTGATGTTTAATGCTACTTGTTGACTCGACTATATTTTTTGGTGTTTCTCTGGTTTTTTGTCTTTTTGAGCCTCCAGAGACACCTCGTATTAACGATCCACGAAACAGTCCAGTTGAAGTATTAGAATTAGAGTTAGAATTAGCTAGATTACCACAACCTCCGCCTCCACCTGAGCTTCCATTCCCTGAATCACCCCAATTAAGACCAATACCACTGAATGAAGATCGTCGTAGCTCTGCAAATGAAGCCACTCGACTGGAAGAGGTTAAACAGGTCGGAAATAAACACGGATCATAATTTGCTCCCGAATATTCAATCTTCATCGAACTTTCAAGACCATAATTGAACAAACTTATACTTTGAATAGGAAGAGATGAACTTCGAGGACGCTGATAATCTAATTCGTTGATCTGTTTCTGAATACTTTTGAGTCTGTTAAGCCAAATAAAAATGAAATTATAATTATTTTGGTTTCTTGGTTCGACCTATTCAATTAAATCCAAGTCAAATTACCTTTTGATGAAATAATTGAGACTCCAATGAATACCCTCTTCTAACCATTGGGATGTGAATAGACACCTTAAAGTCGCAACATCGAGATATGTGGCCATCATAGGCTCTAATAAACGTTTGTTCTCAATTCCATCGATTTCCTTTCGTATCTCACTTTTATCGTCATGAGCATTCTCTTTGGAAGCTAATGGTGGGATTGATGATCTACCCATTGCTTCATTGTATTTAGATCCATGGACGGGACTAGTTAACTTTTCAGTTCGTTTTACTTGCAGCCTGTTACCTCTTTCGATTTTATCATCAGCTGAAAAATTAATGAAAAGATTATGAGTCAACAATATCAATGAATATCGAAATCATCTTGAGAGCTTATCTTACCTCCAATGAAAACATCACCGAACTTGGGTCGGAATTTACCTTCAAACCGTGAGGCTCGAAGTATATTCCGTTTGGGTTTGACCTGAGCAACAAAACTTGGGATATCTGGATGCTGATAGTTAAACAATGGACCCCACAATTTGTGTCCATTTTCCAGCCGAAAGCTTGTAAGAAAGTCTGAATTTTTAAGGTAAGTGATGAGAGGAGAGAAAAGGTAAACAAAAAGCTCAATTGTTGTTATTGGAAGAAGATAATGGTCAACCGGACGATTGATTCCTTGTTCAGCTTCAGCATCAGCACATTCTTCAGCCGCATCGAGGACAATCCAATGTAAGGTGTACAACAGTTTGGTCTCCGCTGCACCGAGTTTATCGAGGCTGCTGTTCTTCCGATTGTAAAGTAAAGCTGAGCAACAATGCATCACATGAGGCAAAGAGGCTTGAATAAGTTTCCATCTGAAATTCAAACAACAAAATCATAAAATACATGAACTACAAGATGTAAATCAAGAAACTCTATTTTCATCAATTCAACTAATTCAGTCTAACAATTAATTCGTATCAAAATCTAAAAGTTATGCCATTAATTTAACCTAAATGAATTCACACAGGAGCAGAAAAAGTGATTTTCAACATTTTCCAATATTTTTCTCAATTCGATTAACGGTAAACTCAAATGATTTAAAATAATCAACTAACGATACTTTTGATTGAACAAGAGTGAAGATTTCATTGAAGATAATGGAACCATGAAATAAGATGAACACAAATTGATTGTAATCGAAAACTAATTCATCTGAGTTATCTGGTGAGAGAAAATCTCAAATATTGTAAAGTTTAAAGAATTGGCTTCTGTATGGAATAGGAAAACTGGTTACACAGAAAAAAAACAATCTCATGTGAAGAAAATGGTTCAGTTTTCTTGAATCATTGGTTTTCATGATGAAAAAACATCCATCATGAAAGACATGAGAAGAAAAGAAATAAAAAGGAATCTGATGAAAAAAGAATTGAAAACAAATACATTATGTTCAAATCTCGATATTGATCAGATTTTATCTTTCTCGCTCTTCCTATTTTCTCTTGCTATTAATAATAATTCCACAATTTGATATTATTAATAATTAAAATCATTATTCTAATCTTTCGAATTTCCAATTTTCAATTTCTGACCGAAAGTCACAAGAACTTCAGTCACGATCAGAATGAAATTGAGAATCAAGTGAAATTAAGATGAGAAAAATTCAATAATTTCTCAATTATTGATGGAAAACTGCTTAGCACCAATCGTCTTAACAGCACCTAATCATGTCTTACTACAAGTAACTAAGAATAACATAATAAATGTATCGATTTGATCGCATCTTTGACATGAAACTCAGGCTCATTCTAATCTAATCTTATTCTGTTGCTTGTTCATTCCTAACAAATGTGAGTAACTTTGATTGTTACACTAATGTTGTCGCGTTCATTTTCAGATAATCTCATCTAATCTGTTTCATATTAATCATAAAAATAGTTTCATTTTGTCTCAAACTTGGAAACCAAGAATCAAGATCAATATTCTGAATAGAATCATGGTTTTTTTTTGTTCATTTCCCTTTGAATCATGAATACCTGATAATGTTATGATAATCATTACTGCGCCACTGGTTTACTATGTTAGTTTATCATGAATACAGTTGAATTATGCGCAGTTAAATAGTATTTCTAGTTACTCAACTTTTTTGTTCAACCTCTTAGAGAGTAAATCATATTTATTTCATGTCATTAGAACGCAGGGTAGTTGACCTTATTTCATTCAGATGGTTCTGATAATTCTGAAAGCTCAGTAGATGAACATCTGAGGAATTATTTTTTCTCTCTCTTATTCCTTCCTGGTTTACTTCAGTCTTACCAGAATTACCAATGTCGATAGCCATCAACATCATCTTGGTGATGAATCAAAGTAAATTCAAGTTTACTCATCACTTGGCTCACAATTTATTCATCATGGTAATTTCATAGTTGATACAAAAAAATGAAAGCTAATACAATGTAACTCAATTGATTTTGTTTGCTTTTTTAGTACTAAAAACTCATCAGTATCAATTAACCAAATATTCAATATAATTAACCTCGATTCTTATTAATTTTTAAAGCTTATTAAGGCGCATTAATATCTAATAAGAATATCTTTTCACTTCCACCGATTATTATATTGAATTAATTAATAACTTTATCGGTGATAAAAAAGTTTCTTATCAGTTAATCATTTTCTGTCACGAATTTTTTTATTCAGAGTCTCAATAGAATGAAAAATTATTATTATGATAATAAAATTCTGGATACAATATAATAAGTTGATTAACATAATCGTAGGTTTATTTTGAGTTTATTTTCATTCTTATTGAAATTTTTAATTCTCATCAGACTCACGCAATTAAATTTGATTTTAATTTGATTTCTACCGAGGTTTTTATATTAACAGTATTCTAATAATTTTGATAATAGTTTTGCTCGTGTAAAAAGCTGATTATAATCTTTCAAGTGCTAACTTCAATTCTAATTCTTGATCAATGTTCAAGTGACAATTTTGACGAATCTTATTAGTTTTCTGTGTATGAGATTAATAGATTAAGTGATTAATTAAGTTAACACGTTATCCAATGTAACATTTCAAACAGAATCAATAATGATAATCAATAAAAAGATTATTAAAGGCTGAAAGCGTAGAAACTTTTTTGATCAGAAATCATTCATTAGACTAAAAGGTTGATTGTAATTGATTTAATTCTGTAAACAATCAACAAATTGTGTTGACAGAATTTTCGACTAGTCATTATCAATAAACACTCAATTTATCATTGTAGTTATTAAGCAAAGAATTCAAGTTTCGTGGTGTATCAGGGAAAATAATTTCGAATGAAATTCTGAACAACTCAAAGGAGAAAAAGAATTTTCGATCTCTCTCTCTCTCTCTCTCTCTCTTTTACTATCAACATTTTGTTCTTTTCTTTTTTTTTCTTCTTTTTTCACAAATATAAACAATTGATTACAAATTAATGTTGAGTTTCCATGTTTATTGTTGAAATGCTGCCAAAACAATTTAAAAGCAAACAAGATGGAGTAAAAATCTCTGAATGATGACAAGAACCAGTATCAACATTAATTTGATGGTTTTCCTTTCTCTACAATCAATTATTCATCAACTGATTACTATTAATAGTTGTGAATGATTAAGTGCAATGAAAGGCAATCAGTCTGATTTTTTTATGTCTACGGTTGATTTGAAACGGATACCTGGTAATTCAATCAATCACTGAGTTCTGATCATGTTCTCGATGCTATTAGATGAAAGTAAATCCATAAGAAAATCAGATTAAAGATTAATTTGAAGAAAATGAATCAATGATAATAACTGTTGGCAAATGTTTATCTTTAGATGTGATTGGTTAGTTGTGGTCAGTTCTTCATGAAAGGTCAATGAGTTTAAGGTTAAAAGTAACTATAGACTATTTGATAATCAATCGATCTGTTAGCAGATAGATTGTCATGCTATTGATTAAGCCATGGAAAGGATTAGATAACTGGTTCTATCATCAGTCATATGTTTTTCATTGTGTCAAATGATGAAAATTGTGTTTGGAGAGAGTTCGAAATGCTTGAAAAGGTTCAGAATGAAAGTGACTGTATCTCAGACTATTGATTAACTGGATCGAAAAGGTTTAGATTAGAAGATTTAATTGATTGATCAAGTATTGATACGAGTAGATTTATAATGTTAGAGACATGAATTAGCAAAAAGAGGAGAAATGTTTCCGAATTGTAAATCGCTCGCAATCGATTTTGATGTTAGAACAAATTAATTGAGATCGATAACCAAAAGATCCACGTGACTTTTAATCAGAAAATGAGAAATTGTTTGATTGGAACAATTAATTGTCAAATTGTTTCAAGAAAAAGAGAATCATAAATGAAAGAGAAAAAATTTCGTGTTTTTGGTTTCTCATCAAGTTCTAATTGGCAGATCGAAATTGTTCGATTTTTACCGAAAATCGAAAAGATTAAATCGATCAGGTAAAACTGACAGATCGGTCCATCACTTTTCTCAGAAAGAACAGAAATGAAAAGGAAAAAGAAGCAGAAAGATTAACTGTTCCTTTCTGACACTCGAATAAGAAAAGCAGAAGAAAAACATCAACATGAATTTCGTTAATTGTTGATTTTCGATCGAACAATTTAATGGATTCTATTTACCTTGAGATACTTTTAATAGCATCGGTTAGACTTGGTGATAGACCAAATTGTATGTTCTGAACGAGAACCTTTTCAAACGATTTACATGCTTCTCGTTGTTCCATAGCCAAAGCATCTTGTTGTTTACCAAATTTGGGTCTGATGAAAGGACTGAGTGTTGAAAGAGTTGATTACATGGAAATGATTAGTTAATTGTAGAGATTTGGAATAAGAAGACATGGGAGAAAATAAGAGATAAATGTTACCTTGTTTGTCTCCAAAGGAAGGTTTGTATTGGTAAAGGAATTGATTCCTTCTCTTCTTCAGCTTCATCATTTCTCCTTTTGGTCATTTTCATTCACATAATCAATCGGTGATAAATTGTTTCAATTGTTTATTTTCCTTGGAAGAAAACACGTAACAAGGACCAAAAACATGACGATTTAATGGAAATTAAGTTTAACTAAACAGAAATCAAGTAGATTTAATGATAAATTAACAGAACAAAATTTAATCACATCCTAGCAAAAAACTTCCCAGTAAAAACCATCAGTCGATAAGAATCACATCAGTTCATTGCAAGTAACTCCATCTATGGTTACTCAGTTTTTCTAATGAATTTATCCATCAGCTTCGATTCTTTTCAAGGAATCATTTTCATTGCGGTTAGTTCAAATTCGCACTTTACTACAATCATAACTGTGAAAAGATCGTTACCAAGATCAAAAATTTTTGGAAATTTTCCACTGATGAGGCGCTGCGGGTTAGTGGCCTCTTTTGATTAGGTTGACGCGATATTCAAATTGTTCACAATTTTGTTCATGCGAGAAAATTTGGTTGACCTTGAGATCGTCACTTCACACGCACGTTACTAAGTTTATGAAATAGTTTATTAAGTAAAAACGTAAGGTTAAAGGGCTTACAACAAGAGGTACAAGGTCACTTGGCGAGTGAGAGTTGACTAATTGTTGGCACTGATAATAGATGAAAGAAAATGATCTCTCACTCTCTGTGAATTTGCTCGGAAAAGGAAAACTGGAAAACAGAAAAGAATCACAAAAATCGAAGTCAATCTAAATCGCAATTTCTACAACTTTTCACAGCTAATTATCGATGAATAATAGATCCAAATAAGTCTATCGAATAACGAATTTAGGACTTTAATGTCAAATTATATTTATTCGTATAATTGAGTATAAATATCAATTGATTATGGCGAATGATTAGCAAAATGTAATTACTTTGGATTTGATTGTCAATTATGGTTTTTTCATTGGTATGAGATCAAGATTTTCATGTTGAATGTAATTTGATGATTAAATCCAAGTAAACAGTGGCTGCAATCAGTGGATTGTTATAATTGATTGTAATTAGTTGGCATATTAATTGATTTGTCCATGGCTTGGAAATGTTAAAATATGTTTCATACGTGCAAATGATTTGGTTGATTTGATTATAAAACTTATGAGAAATAACTGAAGTATCAATTAAATTTAAATGCTATCAGCTGTTGGAGTTAATTGGATAACCTTTGACCATTCATCTAATGGCCACCGTCCATTTGGATTGACATTTGGTGGACTTGATTTCCAGTCCCATTTTTCAACGGGAACTGACCAATTGGATCCATAATTTGCTTCAATGTAAATCTTTGTATCACAAGGAACCCTAACTAATAGATCTAGAAACTCAGTCCAACAAAGATTGAATTTTGGAAAAATGTACTTGAACTTGTAACCCGTTTTGGCCTGTGTTCCGCCATTCCAAACATGATCTGCTTCCGTGTAGAAAAAGAAAACGTCCAACTTGACATTTCCATGGCGAAACGATAGTTCATAAGAATCCTCAACTTTACCGAAAGCATGTAACAAAGGAAGGTTATTCATGTAGAAATGATCGATCATTTCTGGTCGATAATCGCTAATCCAAATGCCAATATCAACGTCCCTCGAATAGGCGATGACATCACATTGCCTGAACCAACCGAGGGCAGTGCCACTACTTAACCAGAAAGGAATCCCAAGATCATCGAGAACTGATTTAACAATTGAGAGTAAACTTTTCACTTGAGATCTAAATGAGTCGATCTGTTCAACGGAGCCCATTTTGGAGCCATGAGCTGAATGAAACTTTTTGGCTTGAGTTTTGTTACACTCGATGTAGGCGATTTCCTTAGCCGATTGGTGAAAAGTGAGAAGATGTTTTGGTAATCCAATTGTTAGACCATCGATGACTGTGTTGCTAATTTCGACTTTCTTATAAATAACCGCATGATCTGAGTTTACGAAATCCGCTTTTCGAGCTCCCTGTCGCAACATAAGCCTCTTCTCATAATCGGTTGGTGAGAACGGCGATGACCACCAGTATTGGTTTAATCTTTCATACAAAACGGCAACATGGACTACATGGCCTTTCCTTTTTTTGGCTCCTTCCTTAAAGACAATTAAGTGCATCGGGATTGTCACTTTGAGGTCATGATGAAGTAAAGTTGGATCCAAGTCGATAAATTGTAACACAGTGTAGCCATTTTCCTTTAATGATTGGACAAGTTTGGTTATCTTCCGATGGTCAATGAATTCACCGAGAGTTCCCAGATGAGTGACATCTTGATTGTTACACAGAATTTGACAATATTTTGAATCAATCTGATGAGGAGACGTTGAACTGAATGGAGATGATAATGATCCCGATGAAGAAAATTGTAAATCGAATATTTTTTTGCATAATTTTCCATCAATTAGAAACAATGGAACATCATGACTATCGGAAAGTGAAGTTATTCCATGTAATGATTCCTATTAAAAAGACGAAAAGAAACAGCAATTAGAGCAAATCACGAAATCAACAATTTAATTGATAAAATCTTACCCAGATATGGTTGACTTCAATTTGATTCTGCAAAGAGAATTGGAAAAAAACAAAACAAAACATGAAAATCTCTGAATAAAGAAATGAACTTTTCCATGAAAATCTTACCTTAGTAACAATCGATTGTAAAACAATTAGTTGAACAAGTAGTAGAAAAACACTCGTGATTATAATTACACAAATCAAATGAGATTTAATCATTATATCAATGAATTAATTTTCAATGTTTTAATATGAACCATTAAGATTATGGGATTTAGACAAAACATCATTTTCCATGGGATTTAATTAATCAGAGAGAATGATTAACTCATCTTAATCACAACAGTGAAACTAATCGTCAACCTCTTGTTTTATTTGGAACAATTTAAATCAAATCGAATCAACAACAAATCAAAACATTTGAAGAAAAGTCAAACCGGTAAACAGCTGATTCTTCAACACTGACACTTGACGGTCCGTAGTAAAAGGCAAAAAGAGCTAAAAGACACTTTTCAATTCAATTCTTTTTACTTATATTTAATTTTTACGATTTAAAGATGAACTCAGGTCAATATATGTGGTCAAATTATCGATAAAAAATTAGATTTTTAGTTGAAATTGAATAAAAAAGTTATTCATAAATTGACGTTCAAACTTCGCGCATCAAAAATCAGAAAAATTGAATTATTTTGGAATTTTGGTGATTATTGTTTTGTTTAAGTGTTATTATTGTCAATATTTCATCAAAAATTCAGAATAAAATGTCCTGAGGCTCTTTCACTTCAATTCTACTTGATAGCGGAGAATTTTGGCTCTTTTTTGCTTTTTTTCGTCTTTTTGTCTTTTACCACAGTCCAGACTTCCCATTTTACTTTCACGTGAATTTTAGGTAAATAATTATTTTATCAACAAGTGCATTTAAACTAACTTTAATTGGATTAATTAATGATAGAAAAAATAAATAAAAGAAGAAATTTATTGTTCCGCTATTTGCTCCAACAGGACTTTTTTGGCACGATCCTCTGAGGGGTGAGTTTCTAAAGCAATGGTAAATCCAGAACACAAATAATAATAATTGCACTTTAACTCGTCCATGGTCCAAGAATGACCTCGTTCATCCTCCAACTCTTGGACCATATCGAGTAACAGTGACCAATTAACACGTGGTCTCCAGGATGTAAAATAAACCATCAGTAGTCCGAGTTGTAGAGATGTTAGAATTGCTGGAGGCTCAACGCGAACTGGAGCCTCGTTAAGGGCAAACATATTTTCTAGATACATGTTAGCAACGTTGTTATAGACATGTTCTAACTCGGGATGAGGAGAAAATGGAAGTTCGAATGACTTGAAAGGTTTATTAGCATCTGACATTTTGAGAAAAATTCAAAGTAAGTGGAAATAACTGAAACTGCACGGAATTGGATAGGAAGGAAGTCAAATTAAACTGCCTGATTGACCAAAACAATAAAAATAATAATTTTCAGGAAAATGATGTGGCGCCGCCTAATGGGTTCGATTATTTAAATTGTTCACATCTTTGTGAAAAAATGTTCTTATTTGAGTCTTGAATTTGAGGGTTTGGTCAACTTCTTGTTTTATTTGGAACAATTTGAATCAAATCGAATCAACAACAAATCAAAACACTTGAAGAAAAGTCAAACCGATAAACAGCTGATTCTTCAACAGTGAGACTTCCCATTTTACTTTCACGTGAATTTTAGGTAAATAATTATTATATCAACAAGTGCATTTAAACTAACTTTAATTGGATTAATTAATGATAGAAAAAATAAATAAAAGAAGAAATTTATTGTTCCGCTATTTGCTCCAACAGGACTTTTTTGGCACGATCCTCTGAGGGGTGAGTTTCTAAAGCAATGGTAAATCCAGAACACAAATAATAATAATTGCACTTTAACTCGTCCATGGTCCAAGAATGACCTCGTTCATCCTCCAACTCTTGTACCATATCGAGTAACAGTGACCAATTAACACGTGGTCTCCAGGATGTAAAATAAACCATCAGTAGTCCGAGTTGTAGAGATGTTAGAATTGCTGGAGGCTCAACGCGAACTGGAGCCTCGTTAAGGGCAAACATATTTTCTAGATACATGTTAGCAACGTTGTTATAGACATGTTCTAACTCGGGATGAGGAGAAAATGGAAGTTCGAATGACTTGAAAGGTTTATTAGCATCTGACATTTTGAGAAAAATTCAAAGTAAGTGGAAATAACTGAAACTGCACGGAATTGGATAGGAAGGAAGTCAAATTAAACTGCCCGATTGACCAAAACAATAAAAATAATAATTTTTCAGGAAAATGATGTGGCGCCGCCTAATGGGTTCGATTATTTAAATTGTTCACATCTTTGTGAAAAAATGTTCTTATTTGAGTCTTGAATTTGAGGGTTTGGTCAACTTCTTGTTTTATTTGGAACAATTTGAATCAAATCGAATCAACAACAAATCAAAACACTTGAAGAAAAGTCAAACCGATAAACAGCTGATTCTTCAACAGTGAGACTTTCCATTTTACTTTCACGTGGATTTTAAGTAAATAATTATTATATTATGATAAAAAGTGGATTTAAATTAACTTTAATTGACATTAATTTTGGGAAGAAATAATAATAATAATGAAAGATATTAACCATTAAGGAATAGTAAAATTTGATTGTTATTAGTATTCCAATGAGATTGTTGTTCTTGGCTTTGATATTGTTTGTATTTTGTGTAAATTGTTCACAATTTTGTCCATGGGAAAAAAATGTTCTTGTTTTGAGTCTTGAATTTGAGGGTTTAAATGTTGAGCCGAAAACAAGAAATGAAAACAGTAGATTATGAGAGAGAAAATGATCTCTCACTCTCAGTAAATTTGATCGGACAAGAAAAACACCATTTCAACAGGAAAACGGAAAAGAACTACAAAAATCCATGTCAATCTAAATCGCCATTTCTATAGCTTTTTGATATTTTCAAAGGTTTAAGTGAGAAACAATTTATCTTAAAATGTCGACACATTTGTCGCATTACACAAACACCATAGTGAATGTGTGCCAATGTAACAATCAATGTGAAAACTCGAAGAATTTCCAGTTCGTATAATTGAACCAATTCGATCTTGAAAACTGCGGTAACAATTAGTGTTAGAAGTACAATAAACCAATTGTATCCTTCACATCGGGTGTTTGACATTTGACTGACAATTAAACGACACTGGAGGAGAAAAATGAGAAGAGAATAAAAAGGATAATGATTAGTAATTTAATCAACAATTCGATGGATTAAACTAATGATTTGCTGACGTATTCTTGCCACGCCATTGGAAAAACAAGAGAGATTAACCAGAAACAATCAAACATCTCACACTGGTGATCCTTTTTTAAAGGAAAATTGAGATACCATATCAACATATTAATATCTTAACTTGATGGGGAAGGATAATAATAATTAGCAATTAGTAATTAAAAGATGAGCCAAGTCTGAGAGAGCTGATCATCAAAAAATAATGAAAACACAAGTAATCATATTGGTTAACCATTAATTGATTGCTAAGAAAAACATGAAACTAATCAAATTTGATATCTCTTCAATAACAATCAATTAGTTGTAAAGAGATAAATATGTGAGAGAGAAAGAGAGAGAATTGATTAATCAGGATGATCCCAAAGTTTTAATCGATTGGGTAATTATCACTTTGTTTTCCTTGCGATTACTTCACTTTCTTATTCTAACAAGATTGTTACTAATTACTAATCTAAATTAGATAACCTTTAAAAGTTTGCAAAGGTATGAAAAAAATAAACTCATTGAATCAACACTTTTTCAACTTGCAAATAGACAAGTAATGATGAAAATAATGATGGTGATTAAGGAAATGAATCATAAACGTAAGCAAATTGTGAAAGTTATAAAAAAGAAAATGGCCAAGCCGTGGACAAGGAACGAAACGTCAATCAACAATTTATCCTTGAGAAATTGAGGTAAACAAAATCTGATACTTTACACTAATATTTGAGAATAGAGTTCCAACCATAAAGTAAAACATCCTTGGATCGGTATTAATCACATTGGATGGGGAATAAGCGGCCCAGAAAGTGGTGAAGCCAAAAAGTAAGACCAATGAGATCAATGGTCTAAATGATTCCCAGAGATTTTTTTGTTTCAATGTTCTATTCTTGTATCCTGAGTATACATTGTAAACAGTGACTGGAACCGAGAAACCAAAAGCCATGACTGAGAGAAAGGAAAGAAAGAGAGAAAAAAAGAATTAGTTGTTTGATGAAAGATTGGAGAAACATCATTTTGACAACACTTTCGCCACTTAAATTAAGTGTAATGGAGAGAAAGAGATTGATCAGGATGAGTAGTTAAATTGTTGTTCACTCTGATTGAGAAATTTTCACACTCAAACTAAAAAAAGGTAAAGAAAATATGCTCAATACTAACCGTGAGATACAATTTCAAAAATTTGTCCTAAAGATAATTTAATGTGAGGAATTGCGATTTTCCAAATAGAATTTGAATACTGGAAAGTCAACAGGTAGAGGACAAATAACAATAATTGACTCGAATCATAGCTCCAGGGTAGATAAAGTACACCGGTGTTATACTTTTCCCAGTGTGAGAGGTAGAAAGTTACAAAAACAGCCCAAAAGATGAAGAGAACACGGAAAGGTGAATAACTATAATCGGTTCGGCCAAACATGGAGTATATACAGAAGGGAACAAACAAAGCAGTCCAAGAATCTAGCCCGTGATCCATTAATTCACCGGTTGGCCCACTTGCTTTCGTTCTGCGAGCTTGTTTACCATCAATTCCATCAAGTGTGTGAGCAAGAAAATGATTAATCGCACAAACGAGCCAAACCCAAACAGGAACCTCTGTTATCGGTGATAAAGCCGAAGTGAACCGGTAATCATAATAACTCAATAGACCAGCATTGGCCACCGTTAAAAGAAAACCAATAAAGGTTAACACATTGGGTGCAACCCATAAAGGCACAAGCTTAACCACTTGATTCCAAAAAGGATGCATGATGTAATTACTCAGGGGACTAGTATCCACTGAGCTGTATTTATATTTATCGAAACCTTTGATTTGCTCCTTAGAAAGGTAATTGTAATCGAGGAGAGTCATTTTTAAGAAATAGAGATTTGATCACAGTGTAACACTAATGGAAACGGTTTAACGATAACCAAAAAATTTCACATCCAATTTAACTAAAAAAACACCTTGATTATTGCAAACATTAATTGTTTCAAATTCATGGAAATTCAGTCGACTCAAAGAACCCACATGACCATGAATTCAATTCAATAGAAAAATCATCTGGGAAACAATCGCGACCTCTATTGGCTTCAAAGAGAAAAGAACAACACACCTTCTTTAGTGGCGCCATCTTTTGGTCCATTAAGACACTACATGGATTGACTTTTTTCTTCTTCTTGATTAATTCAATTGGAAGAAATAATTAATTTTTGTTTGATATTTTAATGAATATGAAGATGGAAAAATACATTTAACAACATTACAGTGTATTAACAATAGTTTAAAGTTATCGAAATAAGTATCACAATTTTACAGACTAGACGAAAGGTGTTTACAATTAGGTTAATTAAGTTTTCTCTTTTTTTTATATTCTCTCAATAATTTATTCAATTGTTGAATAAGCTGGTTCATCCTCTGAACTTGGTGTTGGAATTGTTGATTTTGATGGTGTTCGATTTTTATCAATCGATGAAACTTCAATATCGGTAAATATAACGTCCAGTGTTTGTTTACGGGTCAATTTTTGCTTCGGCGGAAAATATTTAACCTCATCAACTTTTTTCAATGTTTCGTAATGATGTTGATCGGCAACAATTGGTTTCGAACGATTTTGGTTAGTATTTTCTTTAATTCCATTGGAATTAACTTTTTTACAGTTAATTTCTTCGCCACAATTTGTTTCTTCCTCATCAATATCATCAAATTCAACAACATCCAAGTCTTCAAGTCGATCGTTTTTACTTCGAAATCCGGAAACGGTTGAACCTTTTTTCAATGGAGACCAAAACTTTTGAATAATTTTCGACAATCTAGAAACAGTAGAAACTCCAGATGAAGTTCGAGATCCAATCGAGGCCATTTTATCAATCTCACAATTGGGTAGTGAGTCTGGAATTACACCTGAATCGAATAGCGATTTTCTTGACTTTCGATAACATGGTAAAGTTGGTTGTTGATTAATTACTGAATCTTTGGTGACAATATCATGAGCCAGTTTGATTTGCCGTCTCCATGAATCAGCCTCAGTATCACAATAGCCGATCCTTTGGATAACAAGTTCGGGAATCTTTCGACTACTTAAGGTTCCATTTCTTTCGACAAAAGTTCGGTAAAACGAGAAGCCCGAATCAAGATCAAACTCAAGGAGTGTCGGCTTATCTTCGGTCTTATTAATTGCCGATCGATTTCCTCCTCTCCAAGTTCGTCGTATTGACGATAAAGCGCTACTTCGATCAGAGTTGTTACCATTAATTGCCGATTGTGATCTTAAAGTACAGCCAAGAATAACATCTCGAACCTACAATCAGCAAACAAAAAAGAAGAAAAAAAAATCAAATATTAGAAGTCATTATAATTATCCAATTTCTTTAATATCCTTTTCAATTAATAATCAATTGATTGTGCAAGTAGAAAACAGTATCACAATTAAAGTTTTAATTAAAAGGAGGTAAATGTAAACTCTACAGGAAAGTTATTGAAATGAAAGTTAATCAATAAGAAACACAATTAACTCTCAATTTCATGAAGTAATTGTTACCAAAAAAAGGAACTGATTAAAAGACCATGAAACTTGATTATTATCTTTATCTTTACTATTAAATCAAAATATTAAATTAATATCGATATCAAAATGTCCTTAATTTAATTGGGTGCAGTTTCTATCAACTCTTTTTTTTGCTTATCACTTTCATATCAATTGATTAAATTGTAATGATTAATGATTAGCTCCATTACTAAATCACTTACCCGAATCTCCTCTAATCTCAGGACAGCACTGAAATTAGTCGGTAAATTTGGTTGGAAAATATCACAATTAGGATAATTACGAGGTCTAGGACCAGTTACTAATTGAACAGTTACCGGTAATTTAACGAATCGGAGTAATTGAGAAAATGAGTAAACATGATTGTAACTTAATTCACTCGATCGTTTAGCCATCACATAGAACCTGAAACAAATTAAGGTAAACAAAAATCGTTAATCAAATAACAGTTAAACAAATTATGATGAGCAATCGAAACGTAAACAATTAACTTTAATCATACATAATAGACATTGAGAGCAATGAAGATGATTAAAAATAAGTTTAATGTTTACTTGGTGTCTGTTTAGTTGGTTGAACTCTCAATGTTATTATGCCCTCGTAATTAGATTGCTACTTGTAATTAACTAACTACAACAACTAGATCAGCTAAATTTGGTACTGGATCAACTAAATTATGGTTCCTTTTAGCTAATAAGGAATCAAGAGTAACAATTAACATTGAAACGTGTTAGAGGTCAGTTGATGAGTGTCAATAAGATAAAATAAAGACTGTAAACATTTTAATTGCCACTGAATTAATTGGAACAATTAAAAACAGAATAATAATTAACCATGACACTAAACATGCAAGAATGTCTTCTAAATCATCAGCCTAAACTACTCACAATTTACTAACATGGTACAAGCTCGTCAATGATAATCAACACAACAATTAAAAAATATGATGACCATTATCATACCAAATAGGATAATGAGAAATCAATTGATTACCATCAAGTTGATTACAATTAATATCAATTTCAAATTGTAGTACCAACCAAAGATCTTAAAACGTTGAATCAAAATAATCAACAAAACGATAATAGTTAACAATCAAATCTTTTGTAATGATTTATATTTTATAACCATTCCAATCAATTCAGCTCTTATTCAGTTGGATGATTACAATTGATGATAATCATGTTAATTGAAGCTTAAAAAGTTACTTTTCACTTTTTTTTCTTGATTGTTCAGAATAAAAGTTCAATTGATAAATTCAATTGATGAGCCGTGAGAAGGTGATGATGAACAATCAGAATCAAATCAAATAAAGTTATATGATAGTCAGAATAATTCACTTGATTATCACCATCATAATCATCAACACTTTTCATCATCATTATCAGTTTAATCATCATTAGTAAAGTCAATAGTGTTTCTTATAATATCATAATATTATTTATAAGGAAATGTCATTAAACCAGTTGAATGGGTGAATCAACATCAATGGTTTTCTGTTGACGAATTAACTTAATCATGATTGAGGTTTTTTACCACCAAACCTTTATTTTAATGGATCCAAAATGATTAAACAGTTAAGATTATTAGTTTAGATTTAGATAGTCTATTTTATTTCTATATTAGCATAATTATCTTTCACTAATCTAATCTTAATAGTGGAAATTATTTTCTGCATAATCATATGTGTTGAACGTATCTCGATGTACGCACTTTTATTGGTGCGGTTGGAATTATAAAAATAAGTAAACCCAAAAACCAGAATATCAAGTCAACCTAATTTTGTATTTTGTAAATTGTAAAAGAATATTTTTCTTCTGAGAAATCATCGGCTCACCATGTTGGCCTAATTTCGCTCTCAGAGTGATTTAGATTATATATCATCTCTTATATGTCACTTTTCATTAGGTTCCTCCTTAGATTCAAGGCCTTTTCTCCGCTCTCCTACTTTCTCTTCAATCAAAAATTATATTCTCAATATAAGTTAATTGATGATTTTAAGTGATCGTTGTGTTTGTAGTTTGATATTGATCCGTTTATTGTAATGAACTGACCTTAGTTAATTGTTTGTCTTGGGATGAGGATAAACTGATTGATCTAAAAGCTTACCTTCCAGTCTCGGTTATGGGTACAAATAAAATCTCACCGCCGGGGACTGAACCAAATCTAATGCACTTGGCGTATCTAGGACCATGTTCCAATGGTGTTGGCATATTTTTCTTGAACCTTAATGAACTTTTTGGTTTACCATTTGACAAGATAAAAGCGCTTATATCTTCATAAACGCCAACAAATCTCAATACGGTTCCTCCTTCAATGGTAATGGGCTCATAATTTGAATTACCTTTAACAGCAATTAGTGAGGTTACGCGAGTTGGTGTTTCGGCTAATACAGCGAATCGAGGTGCTTTATATCCTCGAATCGCATCTCGAGTCAAAAAGTACGGAACATGAGCTCGACCAACTTCATCGATAGAATTAAAATAACCTGCTGTGTGTCCTTTACTATTGACGAGAGAGAACCAACCTGAAGAGTGGTCAAGATGAGAGAGAAAGAAACAAAGGAAAATATCAGAATAATGTCAATGTCATTAGCTTAACATCTAATTAATTACAATTCTCGATTCATTTGATTAACAAAAAGCAACAATAATAAGAAACATGAAAACACTGAGTAAATACAAAGAGTGAGAGTGAAAAATTCACATCAATAGTAAACACGAATTAAAACTTTAATATAAACAGTTAATTACTCTTACAAGTTGTAAAATGATTTAAATTAAAACTTGGAAATAAACAAATTACCATTTTAATCACAATTAATAGAGACTCTTTCGTAATCAACTCTTTTTCCTCTCAACAATCAAAGAAAACGGATTAGAATCTCTGACATCAGTGAGTGTTGATTCTCATTGATGTTGTCAAAGCGGTGACAGCACCGAGTACCTTTAAATGCCTTCAGGCTGTCAATCATTTGGTATTAATAACTTTTTGATTATTTCAGATTTTTCTTGAGACAAATTAGTCTTTGTTTAAATTACGATCTTGAGCCACGAACTCATGAGCTCGACATTAGCCAACAGTCCAGAAGAGCTGATTAGCTGAGCTTTAGAGCGATTCAGGGTCGATCTCTTGATTAGAATCTGTTCAGATTGGAATTGGGTAAAAATGAGGAAACAACAATTAACAATTAATTCTTAATTGTAGTTGTTCATTTAAAAGTGAACTCACTTAATTGATTGAATTCTCAGAGAAACTATTTTCACATGAGAAAAAGTTTCATTTCTTTTAGAGTAAAAAAAACTTTCCTTTATTACATGTTAATTGTTGTCTTCTAATTTTAATTGAATTGAAAATCAATAAATCATTCCAGTTAATTGTTAAGATACCGGAAAGAAAGTTTCAATTGTCATTGGAAATCTGGTAATATTTAAGTAACAATTAACGTTGATTAAGATTACAAAAAAAACATCAACATAAGCCTTTGATGCTAATCACAATCAACGAAATAAATTGTTACCGTAATTACAATTGATATTAATTGTTATCACACTTTTTCATGACAAGTTAATTGTGATTGTAAAAAAACGTATACATTGTCAGGTCACAATTGAATTGCCGTTGTTAATTGTCTCAATTTTTATCGACCACGTTTTCCAACAATTAAGCCTAAACAATTTAATTTCCGCTTATTATGAGATCTCTATTAACAATCAACTAATTGTTGATTATATAAATTTCATTGTAAGATTTAATTAGCAGATGAAACAATTGAGAAAATCTCTCTAAGAGCTGACAGTTAATGAAATAAATCTAAAAAATGAAGGAAAAAACTTCTACAATTAGTTGATTGTTTAATTAATTGTAAAGTTTATCATGATTTTAAACTTTCTATCAAGTTGATTAGATCAACAGCTTATTAATCAACTAATTAATCACTTTCACTTGTAAACAAAAACAATAACAAAACGTTTAACAATTAAATTAATCTAATTGTAGGTAAGCAGCTTAAATCGACTAGATTTTCCCTTTTAAATCGCAACAATTAAGTATCGTGATTAATTAATTTAAACTTTGATATTAATGATCATATAAATTAGAAAGTGTGATTAAGGTTAACAATTAAGGAAAAATAGTATCAACGTCTAACTATTTGCAATTGTTAAGGTCAATTGGTAAAACTATTGAGAAGTACAATTAACCAACAACAATCAACAAATTTAACTGTTAATATATAATTTCAGTGATGACACAATTAACTTTGATTTCGTTAAATTTCAATGTCTTCATGTGGTTAATTTGATTCGGTTAATTAACAATTAAATATACAAAACCAATTATTAGCTTTAACAAATTGAAGGTAAACTAAACAATTTATCAGATTAACGACAATCAATTTAAATTTAAATAGGCGTAAGCAGTTGATTAAATATAATTAAAGGATAAATCACAACAATCAAATTGAAGGATGATGTTTAAATTGTGGACAATCAAGGTTTCCAATCAAGTTTGATTACAGCAATTAGTTTCATCTAATCAGCTACTCTTAACCCTTTAATTGTGACAATTGATTAACATTGAATTTTCAATTGAGTTGATTTGATTTCTAATTCAAAGTTAATCAATAACTGATTTGCTAAGTTCACTTGAGATTAATTAAATCTAATTAAGAAACATAATCAAGTTCGTGATTTCTTAATTAATCAAAGTCACTGTTAATTATTATGAATAGAAATTATAATTAAAACGTTAATAACCTTTTAACAATAATCATCTTCATTCTGATCAAGGTTGATTACGATTTAATTATCAATTCAATCATCTTAATAATCTCGAAACAATTTTAATTAATCAAAATATTTCTTGATTATGAACAATTAAACATTGTAACTAAAATCATTTTGAGTCTTCAAAGCTTCAGATTAATTAAAAATTTCGTATCGATATTTAGTTAATTGTTATCCTAATGATCAAAACCACACTTAACCTAATTTTGAATTCTTAAAATTAAATTTAATCCTCAGTTAATTATCTTGTCGTTGATCATCTTAATCCTGATCAATTTTGATTGATCAGAAATTAATTACCCATTAGAAATCAGTGGTTGGACAATTCACCAACCAAGTGATTAAAAGATTTCAGGAAACAATTAACTAATCATCAATCTAATCGATTCATTAGAATAAATTATTATCTAATTAATCATGAGAATCAATAATTTCGCTACTATTAAAATTTAGATTCCGATTAAAATTAATCACTTGCCAAATGAATTGAGACTAAATCAAATATATAATTATCATGATTAACTTTTGCTTTTGCTTAATTTTAATGAAACTTTTAACCAAACAATTTACTAATTGTTACAAGCACAGTAAACAGCAGGTTAAATATTCAACAATTACAAACCAAATTGGCTTTAATTTACATAAGTAATCATAACAATTAAGCCAAAAACAAGAAAGTTAATCAAAGTGAAATCTTTATTGAACCATAACGGTAATAATGATTTACTAATAACTCAATTAGTGATTACAATTAAAATGGTTAATTTAACTAAATCAATATCTTTTTCCGCTGTATAGTCTTGTGAGCAAATTATTCAAATTTGTTGGCTTAATTGTAACAATTAACTAACTGAACAGTTCCACCTTCACTTTACCAACTGTAATCAAGGTTAAATCAGTTTGTTAAAATGAATTAAAGTCAATTAATTGTCAATAAATTATAATTTTAAGTTAATCAACTATTACCTCCAACACAATCAGATAACTACGATCAATTAAAACCTTAACCACACCAAGAAAACCACAACAATTTAAGGTGTGATTAAGTTAATCGTCAAACAAAATCATCTAAATTACAAGTGATAGGATTTTAAATCTAACATTTAAATTAATGGAAAATGAAAAAAGATTTTATCACAACTGAATTAATTTTAATTGACTAGACTTTCATCATGAATTCAATCAACAATTTCCAATCAAACAAATCAATCAGTAAACCACAATAACCAAATTTGATCAACAATTAACTAATATCTCGTTCTTACTTGTCGACTATCATTTCCGTGATTATTTTAATCATGTAACAATCATCACGATTAACTGATAAGATCCTTAATCGTGATTAATGATTAAATGATTTAAATTGTAGCCAAAATCGAAAAGTAATCAAAGTGAATTAAAACTTTATGAGGAAAAAAAAGTTTTTATCAAATTTAAGCAGCTAAATTAAACTACAGTTAACAATTAGCTGTGAGACTTTTGGGTAATTAGTTAATTGAATGAATTGTGTCAACATCAACTGTTGATTTGTCTCAACAGTTAGTCAACAATTAAGAAAAACCTGACGAAAGCTTTAAAAAGATGAAATTAAAAAGTTAACTAACATAAAGTTGATGTTGACAATTAATTCAATCATCAAGGAAGCGGTTGATTAAATCGTTAATCAACTTCACTCTCTCAAATACATTACTATAATTCATTAACTTGTGTCTTGATTAACTAATTATATTTACTTCATTTCGATTAATTCGGATACAATTAATTGCACAAATAATAAGTTCATCTCATCTTGATACTTATTTTCATCTTCATCTTCCTGATTATCTTCCGGTTATCTTTCACTTTTGTCTTTAAATTCTGGCACTTTAATCACGATTATGAATTTAATCAATCTCAGTTCTCGATAAATTGTTCACATTGTTATTGATTAGAGGATAATCACAATCAACTATGAATTATAGTTATTTAATCAACAACAATCACTTATTTTGATTGTTGTTCCTGTTTTGAATCAACAATTACAATTGTTTTCATTCATAACAATAAATCACAATAATTACAATTATTAATACATTTGATTGAATGTTGAGAAACTTGTACTTCAAAAATAATAACACTTTCCAATCAACAGGAAACGGAAACGATGCTATCACCCTGTCATGATAATTGAACTAAAATTCAAATCTTATTGGACTTAAGGTTAGTCATTGTTGAGTAAGAATTGATTTCAGTAAACAAAATCATTAACTGAGAAAATTTTAATCAATAACTGCAAATGAATTACCTTTAATTGTTGAAAATTTTGAGCATTAGAAATTGGTAATTGAAATCACAATTCCTATTATAATTAATTGGTTACAATTTGTACCAAATTGAATCTGAACACCAGTCTGAATTGCTGAATTTACAGTACATATGATTAACCAAACGATCACTGGGTTATTAATTACTGAACGTAAAGCTAATTGCTTGAAAAGTTTTCTCCTTCCGATTGATCAACTTAAAGAGCAATTTAACTCACTGATTGTCCGCAGGTTGATTACCGACAGTAGCAATCAAACTAATTGAACTTGTGGGTACCTTTACCAATTAAGTTCAATTAACTGATAAAAGTGTTTAATCAAAGATTTGAGACAATCAATAGCTAAAGTGAAAAATGTTAACATGAAAATTGGTGTTGATTTTTTGTTTATGATCAACTTTTTAATTGCAATGATCGAAGTTAATTATCAATTAAGACTCTAAATTGCAGTTGGATGAAACGATGAAGATGGTTGATTTATGTGGGAAAAAGTGAAATTTTGAAATAAAAAAAAGAAAAAAAAAAGATTCATTTTCAGAATCAGAGTCGGAATCAGAATCAAAGATTCTGAACACGAAAGCTCAGAAACACTTTTTCCGATAAAAAAGTTCTAATGTGCTGAATGAGTTCAGTTGAACATGATGATGAGTCTAATGAGGTCCAGAAACCGGTCAACAAGGAGGAAAAGTTGATTATTCTCTACCTATCATCAATTATCATCATGAAGATGATCATCCAGGTAAGATAAACATAGAGATTTAAAAGGCTTCTGAAAACTTTTTCTCATGCAAACTTATGATTCCAAATTGTGATAACCCAAATGAGTGTTAACCATTTTTACCTAATTCATTTTTATCACCAGATTCATGATCATAATTTAATCGTCTTCATTAGCTGTGAATCAGATGCTTCTGAGTTTATCATGTAATCGTTACAACAATTCTCGAAGTGTCAACATTTAGTAAAATCAACAAGAGATTAAAATAAACAACAATCAAACTCAACAATCGATGATTACATAAATTATTCTCATGATTGATTGATGATATTTTAACCAATCAATCAAATCGAACGCATAAATATAAATCAATTGCGTTCATTTACTAAATAAAACATCCAAACAATTAAATTAACGGGGAAAAATAGTTGTTAGAACTTTGGGCGGAAAAAATTCGATGAAATTTTTTTTTCTCTTACAAATAAAGTGATCATAAATTTCATATTTTTCGGTGTTTAATGGACCTTAATTGTTAGAATAACAAAGAATCATGATGATGTTGATGATGATAATTATGATGGAAAAAGTTTCTTAATTGTTGTTGGGTCCATTGACACTAAGGTGTAACAATTTGTCAGTGTTAAAAACGTTACTCTTTATCAAATTGTTTTCCTTGATTAACTTGATTTAATAGCTGAGGAACATTTAATTTCATTCAGATTATGAATCCATCATGAAATCAGGAAGTGAGATGGATTATTTACAACTTTTATAGTGTATAAAAGGGAGACAGTTAAGTTAATTGTTGATCAACTGAAACTAATTAGATGTATCATTACTTTTTTCATATTACAATTGATAAAGTTCATTGATAATAGTTGATAGAACTCTCGAAACAAGTTCGAGAATTTAAAAGTTTTCCAAGAAAAAAAAGTTTGATTGTATTTATAATTCTGATTGTGAGTTGATTAACTACAAGGCTAATTGTTATCATTCAATGGTCAATCTTAATCATCATCTTAAACACAATCAATGGTTTCTAATAATGAGGTAAGCTTAATTGTTTAAATTGTTGCCCATCAGTGAAGGTTGATCATTTAATTTGTTGGTTTTATTTCGTGATTTATGATTAATTTAATTTCAAGGTAATTGCAATTGAAACAATACAAACAAATGTATTAGGCCTAATTACAATTAACATTATAATGATAATCAAGATAACGTCATTGTTTTTCAACTATCGGTATTGCTGCTAATTATTGTTATAATAAATATTAATAGTTAATAAGAATAATTAAAATTAGAACCACAATTAACCTTCAGGTAACCTTTTCATTTGGATTGTTGAATCAAGTGAATAATTGTTAATACATTTTCATAGGAATCAAGTGAATTACCAGAATGATAATCAACAACAACAACAACAAAAACAATCAAAGTTAATCAAATCCTTTTATCACAATTAAAGTCTGAGAGATGATTATTGTTGGAATCATGATTGAAAATTCTGATTAACCTGAATAATTAAAATTAATCAGACAAAAACAAAACATGATAATAATCAAGCAAATTAGCTGAAAATTAGTAATCAGTTTTTAGCTCTTTCTTTATATAAGATGTAGGCGATTCATATGATTCTGAAACTTTATCGTATCGATTCAGGTCATTTTACCGAAAGATCGATAATGATGTTTTCTCTCTAATGATTAAGATGATCGTGAGTTACTTATGATGATAACTGATGAAGATAAATAATAATGATGAAAAAGTTGTGATCCGTTTTCATTGTGATTACTGAGTAAATGTTAATAATTTTTTTCTTCTTTTTCTCCTCATTGAAATGTAATTGATTTTCGGCAAAATATAAATTGTTAGGAAACAACAATTAACCAAAGGGATCACCAATTGACCTGAGGCGCGGTTAAAGCCGTTGATAATGATTCCTAATTATTTTAAATTGCCAAAGTTAATTAAAACCTTCAAATTGAAATGAAAAAAAAGTGAGTTACACAAATGTAACTTGATTAGAATTCACAATTTTTAACTTGATTGTTGTTCGTTGAGTGATTAAAATTGTCTGTTTTGTTTGTTGACCTCTTTTACCATTTGATTGCTTCTGAAATTAACAAATACCGAGTCTTAATCATCCTCATTAGCTTCTGCATGTTGATTGTTAAAAGCGCGGCAATGATTAAGTTAATTGTTGTTAACTGTGCAACAATTTAACAGGTAAAAGTCACGATCAACTGATCAACTTAACGTCGTCGCTTATTTTTTCATTATATTGCTCATCACTAATTAGTGGTAAAAAGTTGAAGGTGCTACAATCGTCACCTTTAACCATAAATCAATTGAACAATCAACAATTTCATTGACAATAAATCACATTAATAACTTATCGTATTGATGAAAAGTGATTAACTTAATTAGCAGTTATTATTGAGAAGGCATTACAATGTTATTACTATCAGATGATTGTTGATATTTAATTTTGATTGTTATCATTTGATAGAATGATGATGATAATGATTAGATACTTTCAAATGCAAATAAAAAACTTTACCAATGTAATTAAAGTTTGATTAATTGATTAGTGTTCAAATGAATATGCAAATATTTTGATGATGGTGGTCTGATCAAGTTGCTTAACTGTTAACCAAATGAATGTGAGTTAATTAAAGTTAATTGTCAATCATCTTACCTCTATAACCTTCAGGAATCAATAAATTGGGTCCAACCTTTTTGAAGTAATTTGAATCAAATGATGAATCGGGAGAAACAGTGTAACCAATAACTTGCCTACTCGTATATGCCTTGTAAAGTAGGAAGGGTTGATCAAGATCCAGTTCTTCACAATTAACTGATTGTTTGGTTTGATCACTAGACGATTTGATAAGTTGATTAATACCACAGATCGTTTTGACACTTTGCTTTTTATTGGTGTTGTTGGAGGAGAAATTGATTATTCCTGGTGATGAGGTTGATGTAGTTAATTTATTCAGTCCAATTGCTCCGTTGATTGTCATCCGTTTGTGTTTACCGTTATGATTGTTATTGTTAACAAGATGATTGTTGTGATTACGGTGTTGATTTAGATGATAATTGTGATGATTATTGTTTCTTTCGGGCATTTTTGTCGGTATTTGTCGATGTCTTGATGATCTACCGATTCCTGATGAGTCTGAACAATTCAAGGATTCGCTTGTCATGGTTGAAGTTGATGAACATGATCCAGATGATGATTCACTCAATTCCAATGAGTTAATTGTCGATCGAGCTCTTTTCAAACTGGAACAATCAGAGGAAAGTGTCGAGTCCAGGGAAACTCGATGAGCTTCATGAATACGAACCAATTGAGGTAAATTATATCGAGATAGAAATTCTCGTGGAGTTAAAGGTTCTTCCATGATTCGGATAATCAGGTTAATATTATTCAAGTCGAATAATTAATAATAATAATTTTCATATAAATAATTTTCCTTTTGTAGTTATGGTCAATCGGAACCAATTCAGATTGTGGCCAAAATTTGACCAATGATTTGATTCTGTCAAACAAAAAAAAAGTTTCATGAAAGTTTTTCATTTATGAGAAAAGTTTTTTGATTGTTGTCAACTTTTCAATAGACAGGATTGTACAATTAACTGATTGATAATTTAGATGTTTACTCAGAGAATCAGTTGATTGTCACCCGGAAATTCATAATGAGGGTAAATGCTTAATGAGCCAGTATTGTTTACGATATTAATTGTTGTTAATTAAGTGATTAATTTGGTGTAAGCTGTTAATCATTTTTCAAGTTCATTAATAATTAAAATCTGATAAAATTATTAATAGTTGAGGATAATAAGGTCAATTAAGTTAATCAAATGACTGCCAATAGTTAAATTGTTAACCCGTGTGAATGGGCTATAAGTAAATCACTGATTAAATTGCTAATTATTGGGAGCGATGATTAAATAACCAACCCTGATTAGGGTAAATAAGTTAACGGTCAAATCAGGGGAGAGGGAAAATGATTTAATCTCTAAACTAAATCACCAAAAATTGATTGATTGATTAGTTGATTACCATCATTATGGTAAAGGTTAATTGAAGACGATAATCAAAAATGAAACAATTTAAATCAACGTTGATTAACCTGTCATCAACAATAATCTGATCAAAGTGGTTCCAATATAATATAAAAATTGTTTAATCATAATGGAAAACTTGAAAAAATTAAACTTGACTTTGAAGTGATTTTAAAACGGTAAATACAATTAACTAACAATCAACAGTAATCAAACAATAAGCAGAAAATCAAATCAACATAATTATTCAATCATATCCGTTTTTTTATATTAATCAAAGTCCTTGAAATGGATAACGACAATCAACTAGATTGGCACTTTAAGCACGTCGAGAAATTTGATTGTTTATATTTAGTTTGATTGTTGTCAAGTTAATTAATCATGATTGTGTTTTTTTCCTGTTCAATAATTAAGGATTCAGGTCAGAATGAAAAAAACAACAACTAACATCTAATAAAGTTTCAAGATTCATTGGTTACAATTTAGTAATCATGTTGATTACCTTGGCACTTTCAACGTGTTAAATTTTGATATTTGATCACAATTAATAGATTGCTGATAATTTGAATTTACTGGCAAGCCTTTTAATTGCACTTATTTAACTGGAAATTAAAGTTACACAATTACCATTCATGGGCCACACTCTGAGGGGTTTCAGTTAATTGTTGATCATTTGGTGACACTCCTTATAATTAAAATATTGTGTCAAGTTTAATTGCAATTAACACCAACAGCAATTTAGTAACAAAATGTTTTGATAAAGAAAAAATTTTTCAAGCCCAAAATATTAATATGAATAATCAACTTTGGCAATAATCAAACTAATCAAACTATTCAAATGTAACAATTAGTTTATATGTATTGATAAACTATCATTAAATCATGTTGATCATAACAATTTAATTAAATTAAACATCATTTTTATGGATTAACAAATTCAGTGGGTTGATTAGGGTGGGAGGTGAACGAGTAGATCACTTTTAAATCAACGTTGATTATCATAAATTAGAAATCAAGTTTGTCAATCAAAAGGTCATACAGAAAATTAATGACGATGATTAAAGTTAATTGTTCAGATGAATGAACTCATAACTCTAATAGTCTTAAATTTGGAAACTAATTTCATCATTTATTAGATGAAAAGAATAAGAAAAACTTTTTCTGAAAAAGTTCTAATGTGATCAATTCGATATTCAACTTTTCAATATTCTTAATTTAATTCAAATTAACGGAAGTTTGTTGATTGTTTTACTAATAACTAGTATTATTATTAATAAGTATCGGACTATTTTCTCAATTGGAAACCTTTTAATTATCATGGTTAAACTGTCTCAATGTTTTCAGGCTACAATTTAATCAAAAAAAGTTTTCAAGCCCTAAGGGTTAATTGTAAACACAATGAGAAGACATTTAATCAATGATTAGGATGACCTTACCCTTTATTGATTGATGTAAATTGGTTTGAAAAAAAAGACACAAAAAATAATTAATAACAATTAAACAGGTAAATCAGTTGATTGAATATGATGATAAACTTTTATCATTGGTCATTGAAACTGTTTGTTAATCAGTGTGGGTTGAGGTTAATTGTTTGAGGATCAGTGTTTAATTTTTCAGAGGACAATTACAGTTAACACTGAAAAAGACACAAGGAGTGGTTAATAACTTGATTAACAAACTAAATCAACAATCAACTAACCCTAAAGGTTGTAAATAATACTAATAATTAAGTAACAAGTTATTTTTTTATCACAATTAAAATTCAAACATTTTGATATGGAATTGATTTCTTCACGTTGGTTGTAATTCAATTTAATTTGATTACTTGTTAAACTAATCACAAGATAACTATCAATATATAAAATAAATAACAAATTAACCTTGAAAACAATTTAATCAAAATAATAACAAATGGATTAAGCAACTGACCATTAAAATAAAGTCAAATTTTGTTCATTAGATGGACAATAATTTGCTATAAAATCCTGATCAATCAATACACTTCAACCTTGATTATGTTAACAATTATGGCCTTAATAGTGACCAGGATAAACTAAATTGTTATAAATTAATCCGGTTCAATGATTATAATGTAATAGTAGTTGATTAACAAATGGAAATATTTAAATTATATCAATATCATTAACTATTGTCCGGTTGTTTTCATTAACTAACATTGATAGCTCTTAATGACCTCAGGCTATTTCATGATAATGAAATGTCATTTTCCCTTTAAATGATCAGAAAATATTATCAACAATTAACAATCAAATTAGACTAATTACTTGGAAGGGATAAAGGGTAATATTTCAATAGTAATCAAATAAATTATCAGATGATTGGAATTGCAATTTAAAATCAACAAGAAAGTGAAAGTTGATTGAATTTCGTGAGAGTTGATTTTGATTACTCTGAATTTTAGATTGCAATTTACTGATCAAATTTTTGAAAAATTTTCCAATGAAAGTTGATTAACTGATTAACCGTATCAAGTGATTCAATTGATAAATTACCTTTGTGGGATTAGGAAGTTTCCAAATTGTTTATAAAGATTTTAATTCCTTTGATCCGATCAGAAACTGTTGATTGTTGTGATTTGAAGTTGAAATAATTTCGCCGAAAAGTAAAACACAAACACAATAAACTAATCCACTAATAATTGTTTGAAACACAACATTTGTTAACATATGAACACACAAATAATTGACTGTTGATTAAAAAACGTCTTAAATTGTCAACATTATTTTGATTTGATTGTAAACTGATTGTTTAAAAAATACGATTGATCTTAACTCAGGTAAAGGTAAATGTTAACTTACCTTCTCAACGTGAAACTAACAACTGGTTTCCAGGTAATCGGGAGAAACTTATCATCATTATCTTCATCACCATCATCATCTCTCTCTCGGTCTCTCTCTCTCTCTCTCTCTAACTGGTATGATGATGACGAAGTAAATTGTTGTTAATCCAGCTCTAAGATGGCTTAACAAATGTAAATATCACTTTTAGGAATCGCCTTTAAATTGATTTGGATTAAAAATAAAATCACTTTTCATTCAACCAAACAATCAACCATTTAAATTATCACTTAGCTAATCAATCATTTGTGCATGTTAACAAACATCAGATTGATTGTTTTCTTGATCAAATTGTTACAAATTGTGATAAAACAAATCGTTACGATTACAAATCATACCTGTTAATTGTCACAATTTAAAGTTCATCGATTTTTTTTATCAACTTAAACATCTTGGGCAATTCGCACTTCGTTTTTTTTAATTGTGATTTGAATACAATCGTTTAATCATTTATTGGACCTCTTAACTTTTACCTTAGCAATAATTAAGATAATGATTATTGATTGTTTTTTTTTGGTTGATTAAGAATGCATAATATAAGGGTAACCCTATTTATTTAATGACACTCTAATTATCAGATATTGTATATATTTGATTTCAATGTTGATTATAATATTTGCCCATTGTAATGATGATGGTAACAATCAGTAAATTGTTGGTGGATATTTACGCGATTGAAACATTGGTAGCGTCGTGATTAACCAAAAAACATTGATTGTTTTTTCATGTATTGATAATAAGGTTATAACTGTAATTACAGTTAGATTATTGTATCTTAATCATTATTAGATTTACATGTAACGATAAATCTGTGATTTATGTAATTCAGTTAGATCAGAACTTGATTAAATGTAACAATTTGAATGATGATCAAACTTTTGAAAACAATTGAAAACTTTTTGTTCATTCATTTTGTCAACATACAAGTAAACAAGGAAATAAACAGTTTGCTAATTAATACAATTAAATTGAGTTAATTGTTAATTTGAGAAGAGGATGATTATGATTAGTAAGGAAACATGTGAGTTAATTGTTTAAACAGGTAAAATAAAAAACTAACGGAGGTTAATTAAGTGGTTATTATTAAAAGCAATTGCCCTTTGGGATAAAGATGAAGATGATAACGTTACTGAAGAAAGTGAAAGATAAGGAAGATGATGAGAGACAAAAGAAGATGATTGTGAGAGAGAGAGGACACATGAAGAGGGAGATGGATGATCCAGAGGAGGATAAGGATTATGATGAAATTGTCGGAAGGAAGTGAAGATGAATATGAATTAAGATCTGAACCTTTTTCTCAATTCTGAGAATCACTTTTTTCAGATGGAGGCCAAAGTTTGAGATGAAGATAATGATGAGAAACTTTCATCATTCAGACATCATCTTCATCTTCATCTTCATCTTCATCAACACTATTATTAAAAATCCCGCAGATGAAAACCCGGAATACAGGAAACACAATATAACTCATGGTGAGAGACTTGAAACATTTTCTGTTCAATCAGAGATGAAAATTAATTCTGAGTGTCAACCAAATGATTGTATTAATAACAAAGAATCATGATTAAGATGATAACTTATTAGTGATGATAATTTTTTGATAACCTTCTCAAGGCTTTTTCACCTTGTTTATTTTTCTATTATTATCATGATTAGGATAATAAAAATTACTAAATTGCTGTTTGATTAACTTAAAGTAAACTTGCTACACTGGTTACCTAATTTTATCCTATGAGAAAAAAAAAGTTTCTCAATCTTAACAATCAACTAAATTAACCTTGTCAAAAGTCCTAGAATGATTATTATAAACTACATGATTGTTAATCATCATCAATTTAATCAACAAGGATAACATCATCTTCCCTTAATCATGTTTAATCATAACCTTGATTGTTACCCGACCGATTTACATTTACATTTACATTTGAATTGATTGTTGGTAATCAACGTTTTTTTCAATGACCTGGTCAAATGATGAGTAAGTTAATCATCCTTAATTCAGTTAGACTTGAATTTAATCCACCCTGATTTAACCAGTAGGTTGCTGTTAATTGTAATTAACTTTCATCATGTTTCCTATTGATTGTTCTTGTTGGACTTTAATTAAATATCATTTCAACTAATCAAAAGTTATCATTAAAATCACCACTTTCTGTTGTTTATTATGATTCTGATTTACACCTACACACCTTAATTTTGATTAAATCGCCTTGTTTTTTACCTTAATTGTTAATCATTTATCTAAATTGTTGTAGTCTGGGCTTAACGCGATTTCTTTGTAAACAACAATTTAATTATTCTTGGTTGTTAATTAATTGTTAATTGTTGTTAAACCATTTTCATTAACTCCTTGGAACCACAGTTTGATTGATATAAATGGTAAAACAATTTAGTAAATGAATTGCAAACAATTAATCTGATTCAGTTTTACTTTCAAAAAGTATTGTCTGGTTTGCTGATTTAATTGTGATTGCTAATCAACTTCTGGTACAATTGTTGACAATTTTTTTTTATTATTAAATAATTAACTCAATGAAAGTTAATTGTAACAATCAGACAAAAAAAAGTTAATGTTTATTATTATTATCAAATGTTAGTTTTATCATCAATACAAAAATAAAGCTTAATTATTATTTATAGAAATACAATTTATATCTTTTACAATTAACTAATTGTGTTTTTTTTTCTTGGTATCATTTTAATTGTGATCAAACAACCAGATTAACTCCGATTATATCAGTTACAATTAAAACTGATCACTTGTCAGCGACAAAATTAACAAAAAAATTGTATCGTTGATATTTTTATGATCAAATGTTAATCGTAATCATTATCCCTGCAATTAAATTGATTGTTTGATAATCATCGTTGATATTATCCAGCTTAAAGTGGTTATAATTTAATACATAAAAAAGAGATGTAACAATTTATTAATCATAACCATTAGTTTAATGATGGTAATGTAGTTAAATGTTGGTCACGTTGATCAGTTTTAAATTGCTTCCAATTATTAATCAGAATCAAATCAACAGCAATCAAGAAAACAAAAAAAAAGTTTTCAATTGTTGTAATTAAGTTGCTGATTTTTGAAGATATTGACCACAATTTATATCACAATTTGAGTAATTAACTTGATGATGGTCAATTTAACTCGCCAATTTAATGGTAAAAATAAAATTTAATCAATCGTCATAGAGGAATATCTTTAATTGTGTTATCGGTAAATTGCTGAAAAAGAGAGAGAGAGAAACATTTGATTACAATTAGTTATTGATTATATATCGACTAATCATACTGTTAATTGTTCAATTTAAATTTCTTTGACTTTGATTGATAGCAAATTAATTGCTATAACTTAATATAATCTAATCAATGATTAATTGATTGGTTAAATCGTCAATTATTCATATTGATTTAGCTAAATAGTTATATCATTTATCAACTACAACCTACATTTAACCTTAAGGTTTATTAGCAATTAATTAGATTAACTGACAAACATTTACTTATTATTATATATAATAATAGTTGACAATTGATGCAACAATTTAACTTGATTGTTACCAATACTTACTTGGTATATATGTCGCAATGAATAATCATTAGTATCTATTTGTGAGCAATCATGATCATGATGACCATGATTTGATTGTGATGATGTTAAATTAATTTTCCCAAAGGGAATAAATTGTTTCTCTAATCCAGTTTCATCAATGGTTCCTTCAAAAAGTGTTGTTTCAAGAAACATCGTCGTCGGATAATCAACTGTTGATTCAATTCCAGTCTCATATCTTATATGATCATCAATTGATGTCTGTAATGAGGAGGTGTTCAACTAATCAAAAAACAAACAACAATTAAAATCTTAATCAACTTTCTTAATCATTTCGATTTACCTTATAAACGATTGAAGTTGATGTTGGATAACCGTCACAAGTTTCATTGGATTTAAATGGAGTTGAGATTATCCCAGATGATTTAATATCTTCTTGGCTCATTGGATGAGCCTCATATTCAATTGAGACGAAACCTGAAAATCAACAATCACCAATTAATCAATGATAAACAATAATTATTATCTTAATTGTGAAAGGAAAGTTTTGTAATTTGCCGCCAATTAACTATCGTGCTGCCATCTCTTGTTATGAATTCAAACTAATATTGGATTAGTTTTTTTCTTTTCTCACAAAATTAACTAATTGTTATAATTAATATCGGTTAATTTAATTTGTCTCGTTTAATAGAGTTTTATCAAATTAATATCTTACCTTGATTCTGAGCTGGTCCCTTGTTACCAATTAATCGAAGACCAATTAAGATTAAAATTGTAACCATTAAGATAATTAAAACGATCGCAATTAACCAAATTAACCAATCAACTGGCTCATTATCTGAAAGTGATGAAGCTGAAAAAGTTTAAATATAATTTACATTTAGTATCAAATCGCCAAAAATTAATGATAGTTAATTGTCTGTGACCTTAGAAAATGGAATAACAAAAGTTGATTAACAAATTGTGAACATTGAAATAAATTAAGATGCAACAATTAAAGTAAAACTTATTATCCGAGATAATTGTTGGGTTAATTTGATTGTGGTTGTTTTAATGGGCACAATTTCAATCAACACTTTAGTTATAATCTTTTTTTTCTCGACTTTAATCAGTAGAAATCTATCGATTTGGTCCAACGATACAACTGATTAGTTAATTGTGATTAACTTACTTGGTGATGTTTGTTTCTCAGGTGGACCTAAAGTAGATCCAAGGATCGAGATGGCAGCACTTTTACCCTTTAAATTAGTTGAATAAATTGTGAATCTAATTGAGGTTCCGGGTGGAAGATGATCAACTAGGAAAGTTGGTTGATCATTTGAAGTTAAATTAATTAGTGAATTATATGAATTGGCTTCAATCACTTCCATGGTGAAAAATTGTTTCAATCCACCATCATCACCAGGTTCACAATTAACCAGAATTGATGTCATTGATTGATTACTGAGGAAACAATTAGCTGGAGGTTGAGGAGGTCCTATTACCAATAAGATGAGAACGTTATATTGATTAAGTTTGATTGTTTTCTAACAATCAAATCAGAAAATGATAACAACAATCAACTGCCATCAAAATAACAACTAAAAAACTGATCATCAACTGATTAAATCAACGAACACAATTAGAATGTAATCATTGAATTGATCGTCATTTAACAAGCAATTAGAACCGATTTAACTTTTTTTCTAATCAATTATTCTGATTTAATTCAGTGCATATTATAATATAATCATTATTTTGATTTTCTTATTTAATGGTTACAGGGAAAGATTTTTTTCTTATCATGATCATTATGAGGTATTTTTTGTACCCTCAGGCTAACTTGGCTCATATGATTTAGCTGTTGAGTTAATAATAAAAGTTGAGATGAATTAGTTGATTGTTATCTAGAAAATTCTGATCTGAATACCTAATCAGGGTGAAAAGGATGAGAGCAATTTATTTAAACAAGAAGCTATTGAGAATGAGAAACAATCAAATTGTGATTTGATTTCAATACTTGAACATTGTCTCAACAATTGAATTAAGTGGGTTAATCACTGGGAACAATTTAAGTTAAGATTAAAATGTTCAACTTCTGTTTGATCAGTTGTAATGAATCAAGGGAATCATGAATCATGAAAATGAATTGAATCTGAGTGAATCGATAGTAACCAAATAAAAGCTGATCATCAATCTAATGATTTTATTCACTAGTTCAGAGATTCGTATTGAATCAATAATCAAAATAATAATCATTCAACTTCATGAAATACATGATAATTCACTGGCAGATGATTAATGGAATCAATTGTCACCGAGGAACATGATTATTTACAATCCAAATTAATCTGAATTTTTTTTAGATTGCTTAGTAAACTGTTCATCAATCTGTAAAAACTCAACAATTGATTCCAATAAGATCCAGGAAAAAGTTCATTTTCTTTGATTGTTTTCTTTTCATTCCCTGAAAAATTCAAACTCCTTTTCCATCCAAAGTGTTATAATATTCATTTTCCAAGCTTATCCTTCACCCTAAACTCATTTTTTCAAGATAAAATTTCAATAGATTTCGGTGAACTCATGGTTATATCTCATGAAAGGAAATGTTAGATAAATACTCTTGTAGCATGGGAATATAAGAATTTCCAAGCTTCATAATTCTCTCTTTCTTTCTTTCTTTCTTTCTTCATTTTCTCGTTATCAAACTTCTTCACCTTCAAATAAAAAATGAGAGAACTGAGAGAAAACAAATAGAGGAAAAAAGAGCAAAAGAAGCAACATGATAAACATAATATTCACATGGTAAGAAATTTACTCCCAGAATGAACAATTCATATTATGTACTCAGGTGAATATTGTTCATGAGATAAACATATACATTGTCAAAAAAGAGATGAAATCGACCCCGAAGGTAAGCAAATCAAATGAGATGCTAATGAATGGGAAATTGATCTAATCAAATCTCTCTGTAACCACGATAACAGTTAACAGTCCAAAATGGGCGATATAAAATCCTTTGTATCGCCATTTGTTGTTATGAACCTTGGAACGTGAATTGTACATGGAAATAACAACAAATACATCTAAATGTTATTCAGATGAATTCTCAAGAGCTAATCAGGATAGAATGGAATAAGAATTTGGAATAACAGTTGAAGATGGTGAAGATAAAGGAAGATAAAAGAATATGTTTACTTATGGTAACATGAGGAGAGGAGGAAATTAAAAGAAGAGGTGGAAAAACAGCCAAAGTGGGCTACACATATGAGAAGAGTGTCAATTTAATTATATGGTCATGGTTAACTGGCAGAGCAATTAAATCAACCATTCAACTACTTAAGATAATGAGAGTAACATCTTCCCTCATCCTTATCTTCATTATCATCTCTTTGTCTTTAATTTTCCAATTATTGCTCGTTGAGTGTTTTCATCATCTCTTCATTTGATATAAGAATAAAAAAATCTTCATCATGCTCTGTTATAAGAACTTAAAAATTCAGTGTTATTCTGAAATTACATCATCATCACAATGATTATGATGAGAATGGTGATATTATTAGACTTTCATTTAGTTTTATGTTATTATCTTATGGCTGTTGTTTATCACTGAAATAACATGATACTCACCAGCAGGAATAATATGAAATAAACATGGATCTTTTTGTTTACCCACTGAATTTTCAGCCATACACAACAAGGAACCATAAGATAATCTGGTTCGTGGTGAATATGAAAGTAAACTCTGGGTTCCATTGGTTGAGAAACTTTTTATCTCAATGGTTTCCGATGAATTATTGAGATACCATTTAAAGGTAACATCTTCCGGATCCGAATCAACCTCACAGGTTATTTTGGCTCTTTCATTACGTGCCAATGCCATTGGATATTTGGTTCCATATTTACCTGAACAAATTGGTGCATCTAAAAGTAAATAAATATTAAAATTCCAATTAGAGCAATTTATCATCATGATCGTTATAAATTGAAAAGAGAAATCGATGAATGGATCGAATTAACCTCGAGAATATAATAAGAAAATTATAGAATAGAAAAAAAAATCGAATGAACTTTTTTTCCTCTTCATCCTTTCATGATAATGTTTAGCGATGGTGCTGATGACTATTATGATTAAGATGTAATATCTCCTTGAGTAAATGTCGTTGACAAGAGTTAATTAACTTATATCATGATAACTATTATTAACAACAATGTCAAGCTTATCATTTTTATCAGAATTTTTTTCCCACCTCTAATTTGAACAATTGAGATATCATGTTTAATATCATGAAGACTTTGATGAATACTGTTGATCAAGTTATCACCATGTAACTGAATGAAGATTATTTTTTCTACTCATGGATCACATTTGATTCCCATGAACTTTTCCATCCTGAAGAGTAATGATTTTTTATTTTCTGCTTGGAACCAAAGGAGAAGGGGAAAAGTTACCCAATTTGATTGATTATTATGACGATTGAGAAACTGATTAGCTAACTAACCTCTAATAGTTAGAGAAGAAGAAGAAAAAATTAAGTTCATTGGGCTTGATATGAGGTAAAATTTTGATATTATTTTCATGATAAATAGAAAATTTTGTTGCTTTGGTTGATTAAATTTCTACTCATTAGTTGATTGTTACACTTTTTTGAATTTCTGATTAGTTGATATTTTATTTGCCAATTTATTAGGTAAACAATTTAATATTTCAAATGAGATGATTAGTATTGTTTCCTTGGTGAATGGTTGGTTAATCAGCACTTTCAACACTTTGATTGATAACATGATGATAGTTGATTTAAATTTAAGTTTCCAATGTATATTTATAAATGTTTTCCATGATTATCAAGATGAAGACAGAGATAGATTGATTCAGTTTTTTTCCCTGGTTTTTACTCAACTCACCAAGGAATTGGATAAACCATGAAACTTGTCAATGTTATATAGTTTTTTCCCAACCCAACCAACGTATTAGCCTCAAAAAACTGTTATATTGCATCTTGGTATCATCATCATCATGATACTTATCTTGGCGGAAGGAGGGATAAACAAGATTGAAATGATTCATCTTCCAGGGTGACATTTCACCTAGAATTATGTTCTACAAGGTATATCTCCTTAGTAAAGATTTTATTATGAAGAACAAAAAAATTGATTAAGATGAAATGGAAAAAAGTTCTGATTCAGTAGATATTGATTTCCGTTAGTAAGTGATGATGATTTTTCATCTCAATGGTGAGGGTTATGTCTTCATAAATGATGAACCATCATCATTATTATTATTTAGCTATGTGAAAACGAATAGAAAGTTCAACCTCTTCGAAACTGAAAGATTGTTAATGTGATAATGGTTCGAGGATAAATCTAAATTTGAGAGACTTAAGCTCCGGGGAGATGCCTGAGATAATCTCAATGATACTTACATTGAACTCGAAGAAAAAGCTGATTGGACGAACCAAGACCTTCTTCGTTCCTAGAGACACATTGGTATCGACCTCTGCTCAACTTTGATATGTTCTGAAGGACTAATGACTGATTAGCGATTATTATTCGTTTCGATGGATCGGAAATCAATGGTTTGCCCTCGAAAAGCCAAGAAGTTTCAAAGACCCATGGGTTGGCGTTTATGTGACATTCGAGGTAGACATCGAATCCTTCTCGAATATTTTCACCCTTAATATTTGGTCCTAAAGTTAATCGTAATGAAGGCACATCTAATTTTATGAAATCGAATTAGAAACAAAAAAAATATCATTAGCAATTCGATTTGATTTGAACCTCAGAACTCAATCTGAACAATAGGTTGTGCTTATAATAGAGAAACAATAATTAGCCTTAATTGTGATTAGATAATATATTCGACTAATTAATCTATCGTTACCCATTCATCAGCTTTAATAGTTACCAAGTAAAAGCTAATTGATCCACCATGATAATTATATTGAACGGAAGCAATTAGAATTATTATTGAAACTCATCGATAATCAGAACTACTAATTACTATTGAAATTAGAAAGGAATCAGATGATCGTCATCATGATTTCAAGTTGAAATGAATCAGTTATTTGCCATGAAATCAACAAGATTAACATCACGACGGAAAAAAAGTTGATAATTATGATAAATATGTGGATAAATGTTTCACCAATATAATTCATCTTCATCTGAATTTATCATTTAATTCAGTCTATTATGTTATCGATTAGTGTCAAAATCAATTGTTGTTCAATGATTGAAACATTCATGGGACTCATGATTTGTTTACTTAACTATCGATCCACTGAATTCAATGTATCTCATCATGGTGATGATTAAAGATCATGATAAACAAAAAAGACACAATAAATTTTCCTCCATTGAACTTGAATGAACATTTTGTTTTTTTTCCTAATACTAACCCTTAATTTAATAACGATAACAATTGATTATCTCATGTTAATTATAAACAGATTTTCTCATGGAATCTGAATGAATTAAGTGAATTTATTTGTTGACAATTTAAGTCACGTGACTTTCTAATCAAACATCAACCTCTAATCATTCATCATGATTACCGATGTTACTATTAAAGGTTCTGAGTATCATAAAAATCAGAAGAAAAAAACATGGTGAAGAATTTTCTGAAAGTTCTTGTAAATGTTGTGTTCGTAAATTTGATTCGATTAATTTCTTATCCATTAGAACTTCTTGTAAGCACCTGAAAAATGTTTTGATGATCATGGAAATGCTAACGGATAATCATGAGTAGTTAATGAATGATTAAATTGTTAATGATAATGATAATGATCATGAGATTTCATGGTAATTATTATTCAAGAATTAGCTCGTTAACAATATTAGAAAAGAGAGAATAAAAGAAAATGAAATATTTTCTTTGCATCGTCTTTTTACTCATTCTTTTCACTTTATCATCTTTGATGAATATTATCGTTTCATGGAATTAATGAGATAACAAGAAAAAAGAATGAAAAAGAGAACATTGTTACTTCTGAGTTTTTTTCGATACTTGGATTCTACTTTTTTCTTCGTTAAATCTCTCTCTCTCTCTCTCTCTCTCTCTCTCTCTCTCTCTCTCTCTCTCTCTCTCATTTGGATAAAAATGATGTCTAATCAATTTGCAATTGTTATCAATCAAAGACCAATTATCATAATGCTTAGAGGATACGAAGTTCATATTAACATGATAATTGATTTGTTGTAATTAAAAAAAGAGTATCAATTACACTTTCGATTCAATGTTAAATCTAATTACTTTGAATTGTTGTTTTAGCAGTTGATCCAGTCACGTTCTTAATAATCCATTTAATCCTGATTCTTGATTACGGTTGGTGATCATGTGAATGTAAGATATTGATGATTCAATTTATTCAATTGAATTTCAGCTCACTGAATTTTATGTATTCTATCACTTGAATGGTAGATAAATATCAATGAGAAAAAATTACCTAACTTTTTTGATATATTCCTTGGTCAGAACTTTTCTTTTCACAGAACTATCTCTAAATAAGAGAAAGTAAGACAATCTAAAGTGAGTATAGTATATTGAATATTTGATAGCGATCATGAATTTACTCGGATTACTCCAATACAATCCAAGTATCATGTTGTTCGGCTTCATCTTGGAACTTAAAATCTATCAGATTAAATGTATATCACCAAGAGACGAAAGGGAACTGTTGCCATGATATTTCTGGTTCTTTTTGCTCTTTGTAAACTTCATTAATCAGAGCGAATAGATGGAAAAATAATTCTGACCTGAATGAACAATGAGCATGATAATTCAAGAATCGTTGGATAATTTAAATGAATGAAAAAATATAAAGTGAATTGATACTTCGTTAACCATCATGATTCCAAGGTTTAATATTATTCATTCAAGATTTTTGTATGAATTTTAATAACTTTCAATGGAGGATATTGAATCAATTCACTTGTTACCATCATGAGAATCAATTTTTTTTACCATTTTCCAATTGCATGGGGAGAAATGAGGAACTTTCTGATATGGAATTGCCAGAATTTCAAATTCTAATGTTGATTGCATCAAATGAGTTGTGACAAAGCTCATTTATAAATGAATAGTAACCATTATCACATCAGTTCTTGGTTTAGGAAAATCAGATTCCCTAGGAAAATATAATTGAAACTATCATGAATTCTTATTAATATTATATCATGGTGAAGACATTGAAATGTATATGATTATCAACGATCTCAAACTATTCTGTAAGTTTAAAAGTTATCCAATCATCAGATATGGAGGAGGAGAGATGAGAAAGAATCTGTCAGAATTTGAAGTTTCTTCTGATTTGGATTCACACCTTCATCATGCGAATACGAAGAAAATATTACTTCCGGTTGATAGCATCTGATTGTTAGTATTCCTATGATATGATAGACAATAACTTATTATCTATTCAGGGAATGAAACTTAAAGTTGAAGAAAATTTTGTCATAAAGTTCTTGATTATCAAGAGATTTTGTGAGAAAATGTCTCTTTCTTTTGGTTCAATTCCAATTCACGATAAGATCTTTTACCCTGAAGGAAGCATTTAATCAAATATTATTTATGTTATTTATTCTGATTCATTCAAGATTCATCATGATGGTCTTACACTAATGCAAGATTCAGTTGATACTCTGAGACCTTGTTTATATTTCGGAATACAGAAAATTTGAATCACCAGAATCATTATTTTACTTTTATCATCATTAATAACAATGATAATAATAATAAATAGTTTTCTATGTTATTTCAATTCTTGTAACTTTTTTGTTCATTTCAACTTGAGATCCAGTTTCCAAAACAGATATATATTCAGATGTTCATTGATTCAGAATTGTTAGCAAAATAATTCAAGAACTACTCAAAAACAATGAGAGAGAAATATGAACAGCAAACTAATGTTGATAATATTCAAACATTTGAAAATTTATCATGAGTTTCATGATTGATTGTGTTTCCTGAAACTATTCATGGTACTTTATTTATTTTATGGTTTTCTTGTCTTATTAGGTTGCTTTTTATGTGTCAACACTCAGGGTAACATGTTATAACTCTGATATTTCAACATTTGTTTCAATGTGCCTGTTCATTGAATGGGTTCATGGTTCATGGTTATCGTCTTGATGGTTATTATTGTTTCCACGAGGTTTTTTTATGGTTGTGGTAATATAATTGAAATTTATGGTAAAATTTGAATTTTCACTTTGTGTTCAACTTACAATAGATATTGAGCATCATTCCATCCTCGATTGAACTATCGTCAAGATTTGGATTTTCGGCTCGGCAGGAGAAAAATTTTCCATTTTGATTCGACTTAAATATAAAAGAAGCAGTGTTAATGGTCAAGTTTCCATCTCCGTTTGTAGTTTCAGAAATGGGTGTTAATTTGATTCTATTCAACCACCAGCTTATAAATGGACGAGGTCGTGACCCAATAGTCCGACATTCAAAGGCCACTTGTTTACCCGCTGATAATTGTTTCTCAGGAGATGTTATAATAACCTCCAATGGACGCACTTGATTAAAATTGTATTAGAAAATTAATTTTCAGCACTTTTATCAGTTAATAAAGAGACTTACAGTTTAAATCGATGAAAATTGATTCTTCTTTTGGACTGGTCAAGTTTGTATTGGAAGCACGACAGGTAATCTCTTTCATTAAAATTGATCTATTGAGCGAATTGAGTGTTAATTCATTGCGAATTACACCTCGGGCACTTTTTGAGTAACTATCATCTAATAAGGTTTCATCTGAGATCCACCAAGTCACAGTTGGATCAGGTTTTCCTAAAGAAACAAAACACAAATGTTAATACATTAGGACATTGGTCAGTCTAACAATCACTCACCAAAAGCTTCACAGTAAAGCACTAAGTTGGTTCCTTCGTCAACTGGTCCAATCACTTGATTCACCCTTTGACCCTTTGTATCGGTTATTATCACTTCTTCTGGTAAAGCTGAAATGATAATTAGACGTTGATTAAATGATTAGATTCAATAAGCAGCCAACTACCATGAAATAACCATTAGCTTGCAATTCAAATAAAACAGTTTTTAATCTAATCTCGCAGTAAAATTTTCACTGATAATTTAACGATTTAAGTAGTGAGGCTTTTGATGTTTTATTGATTAAATTCAGATCTTATCAGTAAATTGTTACAATTGTATCAGATGATTTTATTCCTCATGATAGTTTGGAATACATAATAAATTGTTAACATTAATGTTGAAAAATGTGCCAAAATCGATTCAGTTTAATTTAGTGTAAATTCAATTGCAATTCAATGTGATCATTTACCCGATTCAAAGTAAATACTCAATTCTCAGTCATTCACAATGAACTGGATTAAACTATCAAACATTTTGCACTAAAATTATATATTAAACTATCATCATAATCATTAACATGAGTATCAAATGGATTATATAAGATTATCAATTGTGAATGATGATTAGCATAATTACAATAATCTGAATGCGAAAACAATATTGATAATAATGAGCAACTACCCCACTAATTTCCACTGAAATTCAAGTGATTAACCAAAAAAATAACACACAATTAACCTCAGAATTTGATATAACCAAATATTAATAGCACAAATTATAATGACGATTAAAATAGAATACGCATTAACACCATGTTGCTGATATCATTGTGAATAAATATTCACGAGCAATCATAATAAATATATTAATCTCATTTATAAAAGTACAGGGCGTTAGCACAAATTAAACAGACTCATTTCTAGATAACTCTTGGACTATCTATAACTATCATATGGACTTAAGCTCACATATTAGGGCCATCGATGGGCAAAATTTGATTACATAAGGTCAAAAATTTTAGATAATCAGCAAAATTATTAGTCCATCGAATTGGCATTTAAACCAACATAATCGATGATCATGAGCTTTAGGTAATGGAATCGGTAAACAGATTTTTAGTTAATAGTCAAAAACCAATGAGTTTAAAAAGATAAAACCTCGTAAAGATACATATCGGGACTGAAGGACTTCGTATAAAAAGTAAAAAACCTTTAAATGACCTCTAGATAGGTTTATCGCGGAGAGAAAGAGATTGATCAGAATGAATAGTTAAATTGTTGACTCTCATTGAGAGCTTTGAATGTTGAATTCAACAGGCATAAGTTAAGAACAGAAATTGAAACCCGCAAATAATTTTTCAATCGAAAGACACATTATTTCAAAATTCTTTTATTGTGAATGTCTCGCCAAGAAATAAAAATTACATGTAACAATCATAAATTCAAAATTCCTGACAAGAAGAAACGGGAAATTTGTCGTTCTTCCATTTGATATAACAAGATTTTTTGGCATGATCCTTACTGGAGCGAGATTCTGAGGCAATTGCTAAGCGAGAACACATATAATAATAATCAACAAGAAAGTAAAATTACAGGTAACAATCTTGGCAAGAAGTAAAGACGAAATTTATTGTTCCGCCATTTGCTTCAACAGAACTTTTTGGCACGATCCTCTGAGGGGTGAGTTTCTAAAGCAATAGTAAATCCAGAACACAAATAATAATAATTGAATCTTAACTTGTCCAAGAATGACCTCGTTCACCCTCGAAAACTTCAAAGAAAACATGTGGTAACTTTTTGTTCTTCTTTTCAAATAAACCTTCAAATGACTCTTAGATAGGTTTATCGTGAAATGACCTCAATGACCTTGAAACTTTCGTCTTTTACAGACCTATCTAGAGGTCATTTAAAGGTTTTTTACTTTTTATACGAAGTCCTTCAGTCCCGATATGTATCTTACGAGGTTTTATCTTTTAAACTCATTGGTTCTTGACTATTAACTAAAAATCTGCGTAAAATGAAGTTGAATAGCCCTTTATGTTCATTATTCGTAAAACTCGAAGAAAGAATTTCTTAAATTCATAATCATCCTAAAAATAGTTAATTGTGCGCAACATAAATTATCAAATATTATACTCAATATGAAATAGTCTATTCAAAATTGTTCAGGAATAAAAATTTCTCATATTTTCTTTCATCGTTGTGATTTCTCATCATGAATTCAAAGATAAAGTCTTATTCATGATGCAATAATTTTCTTCTGAGATATTTTCAAGATATATTTGAATGACTCCTTGGTTTTTTCGGTAGGTATTGAGATCGATACATTCAATTTTAAGACAAAATGATGAAGGAAAAATAATACTGAGTAAAATATCATAATGAATCTGAATTTCATGCGCAATGAAAATGAACTTAAGATGCTAGTGAATATTGAGATGACATTTGAAGACGATTACATTAGAACCATCATTGCAGACTATGAAAGTATCTTGATTATGATAGTAATCGTTTACTCATAAAAAAATTAATCAGTTGGTAATAATTGTTTCATTGTCCGTCGATAAGGATTTTTCCAAGGTCAAAGAAAAACAAACTTCCAATAAAAGCTCAAAGGTACTAATTAACTATTATATGTATCAAAGAAACAATGAAAATAATCAAATTACTAAAGGATTAACTAATCGACATCTAACAATTAGTAAAAAGTAGTAATACCAACATTAAATCGAGGATTATTATTATTCAATCAAATGATTCCCCTGAGGCTTTAATTTAACCAGTAAGTGTTAAGAAAAGGCAATTACAGTAGTTGGATAATGAAGGTTTATTCTGATTACAATCAACTATCATTCTGACGATGTTCATGGTCATTTTCAATCCTAAAATTATAACATAAATAGAATAAGAGACTCAATATTTACTGGAGAAGAAAAAACATGGAACTTTTCATCCTCATCATTCTTGTTTCACTTTAAGACTTTCATCATGAGAATCATCATTCTCTATGATTTAGATGATGATGAACATTGAATAATAGGGAACATAGAGAGTTAGATACAATGACAGAAAATAAAGAAAAATGTTACTGATTTATTGAACTCCATCTCCGATCATCATGTGAACTATTTATTGATAAATTGATTCTGAACAATTTATCAGGCTTAACCATCATGTATTATTTGCCTTCATTTCAAGTGTATCTTCATGATTATCACTGAAAGTTGTTTGATAATAACATTCACAGTGATGAAACCTTTTCATACTAATATGATTATTGTTTATTGTACAATCAAGTTAATCATCAAATATGGATTCAGGTAAACTAATCATTGTCTAATCATGAAAATGCTCAAGGTAATTCATTAACTGATTCAGTTCAACCATGCGAATGAGATTTAGCCTAAAAAAGGGTTCAACATTGTTTCTCACCTTAATAGCTTAACCTCTTGTTGTTTGTTCATTGTTATATTATATTAACTATTCAACGTTTATCTTGTATTTCAATTGAATGAGCTGAATCAATTTCTAGATTAAAACTGATTATAAGCAATTAATTTACATCAAATGTTGATGATTAGTTTTACATCAGTTAACATCCTTAATCATCAATAGAAACAACAACTCGATATCAATGGAAACCTTTTCTTTCCCAACTCTCTAATCAATCCAAATTTATGATTACCAGAATTAACCATTATCTTGGTGTTGATTGTTATCAACTAATGAGAAAATATTAATTATAGATTGTATTGAATAGATTTCCCTTTATCATAGTGTTAATTGTCCCAGGGACCAGATGAGTTACCTTTTAAGTTATAATCAAATCTCACAATCTAAAGCAGTCCTTTAATTAGGCCATAATCAAACCAGCGGAACAAATAAAAGTATTGATAACAATATGGAAGTTAATTTGATTAATTGTAAATAAAAATATCAGCTAACAATTTAATGTTAATCATTTTATCTAAATTTTTTGATGATTTGAGGTAATTCAAGATTAGTTTTGATAAAACTAATACTCTATGTACTTGATTGCTACTTTTATTATCATTCAGAAAGTATTAACAGAATTGATTGTTAATCAAATTAACTTGATTGTTTATACTCTAATTGTTGTTGATTTTTTTCTTCAAATTGATAGATGTTAATAATCAGTTTTGATCAATAATGACAGTTGCTTGTTCACGAAATGATTAACTTCAGGTTGATTTACCTTTTTATTAGTAAAAATCAATAATCTGATCAACACTCATCGTTATAACGATTCAAGAGTCCTCGATCTAGAACTAGTTTGCAACTCGAAGTTATCGAACTTGTTTTCTTGAAAACTTATTCAAAGTAGTGTTAAAGTTTTATTATTGTCATATTTTGTTACATTGATTATAATTTGGTTGTTGATCTATTAATCAAATTAATTGTTGAAATGGAATATTTTTGATTGTATTCATTTGTTATGATAATCAATTCAGTTAATCAGATTAGTTTTGATTTTTTCACTCCTTCAACAATTATGATTTGATTTAATTTTTTTATCTCAATTTTTTGAATGTTTTATTAAATTATGAAGTAAATTTGATTGTGTTGTAAATTGAGTTGAACAAATTATGAATTATAAATTGTAAGCGTAACATTTGGAATTGTCATTAAGTCCTGTTGATTGAATTCAGTCATAATATTGAAAATCATTCAATTGTTTAGGTTAATTGTTACAACCAAGGTATCTAATTAGATGATAAAATATGATCATCATAAGACGACAAGTTTAGTTAAGTATCAGATAAAAAAATTCATAATAAGATTCCATGAGAGCTCATGATTTTATAGTTGATGTGGAAAAAAATAGAAAAGAAAAAAATTGTATTAATATTAAGAGAAATAAAAATAGAATTTTTTATCATCCTCATCTTCATTTTCGTTTTTTCTTCCCTTTCTCTCACAAAGGACTCAATAGATTTAGAACCTTTTTCTTTGACGATTTAAAGTTTCCTTACTTTTCTTCAGTTTATCTTCTTCACCATAATCATCTCTCTCTCTCTCTCTCTCTCTCTCTCTCTCTCTTCCACCTTAATTCTCATTCGATTTTCTGATTCAGCAACTGATTCTCATCATAACGATGAGAGTTATTT